TAAAAGTGTTGTGTGTAAAACCTTCTGTGTGTAAAAATCTTTGTGTGTAAACGGGTTTGTGTGTACGAGTGTTTCCGTGTAAAGATGTTTGTGTGTAAAAGTGATTGTATGTAAAATTGCATCTGTTTAAACGTGTTTGTGTGTAAAAGCTTCTGTGTGTAAAAGTGTTTGTGTGTAAACGTGTTTGTGTGTCGGAGTGTTTCGGTGGAATGATGTTTGTGTGTAAAAGTGTTTGTGTGCACAAGTGCATCTGTGTAAAAGTGTTTGTGTGTAAACGCTTTTGTGTGTAAAAGTGTCTCTGTGTAAAAGGGTTTGTGTGTAAGAGTGTTTCTGTGTGAAGATGTTTGTGTGTAAAAGTGTTTGTGTGTAGAAGTGCATCTGTGTAGAAGTGTCTGTGTGTAAAAGCTTCTGTGTGTAAAAGTGTTTGTGTGTAAACGTGTTTGTGTGTCGGAGTGTTTCGGTGGAAAGATGTTTGTGTGTAAAAGTGTTTGTGTGTACAAGTGCATCTGTGTAAAAGTGTTTGTGTGTAAAAGCTTTTGTGTGTAAAAGTGTCTCTGTGTAAAAGGGTTTGTGTGTAAGAGTGTTTCTGTGTGAAGATGTTTGTGTGTAAAAGCTTCTGTGTCTAAAAGCTTTTGTGTGTAAAAGCGTCTGTGTGTAAAAGTGTTTGCGATGCAAACTATTGTCTTGCACTTCTCACTATTTTGTCTTGATACTCCTCTTCTCGACTGCCTATAACACATCTTCCATATATTGTTTCTAAAATTGTGTCTCCATACTAACAAGAGAAGACCCTGCTCCTCTACGCTCTCGGGCCATCCGTGGTCTAGTTTTTTGATCTTCGCCGCCAACGGTTGGACATCTCCGTTCTCTGAACTCTGCGGGCTTCGGGTAAATCGAGTCATTTGGGGATTTTCAGGGGATAGCCGGGATAGCTTTTGAATCTACTATACTGTCCCATCTATATCCGTCCTGAGGTATATCAAAAACATGGCTGAAACATCATCTTGACGCTGAATCTCGATTCTATCTGCTGAGGAGGAGAATCACCTTTCGAGCTTGGAACTCCCAAGAGCTGTTACTAAATACCAAAACCGACAACCCATACCCAACAAAATGTATATTGAAGGTCCAGTTACATGCAATTTTGGCTGCTTAAATCTCCATCTTTGGCTGAAGCCCTTTTTTCTGGTACACCACAACTGGCTTTCTGGTTATACTACCTCAATTTTAGCCACTTGCCCTTGGGTAATTTCACATAGCTATTGAAAACTGCAGCTTTGTAGATGGTTTCCCTATGAAAAACATGGTGACTATAGTGATCTTCCATAGTAAATTCTCAAAAAAATCGTAGACCATCCCCATGGTATTTCTCCACACCGATGCTTTTTCGGCCACCACCAGCCGCCTCTGGGCTGCGCCGTAGTTGCCCACGGAGCAGCTCACCACGGAAACACGCCTGGCTCAGGGGAACACGTTTCGGCATCTTTTTGGGGCCATATTTTGATGGAAAAAATGCCACCCACATAAATGGCCAAATACTATAGCTATGGTAAACGTTAACATAGCGAACTGGAAAATCACCACTGGTTTTACGGATCGTAGATCAATGAGCTAAATGACAATTTTCAATAGCTATGTTTAAATTACCAGAGGGTAAGACTACCAGTGGAGAATCGGGATTCAACAGAAATCGTGTTTGTGGGTTAGCTCACCCCTAGTGAAATAACAGGACATTGCGCCTACTTGGCCTTCCTATAAGTGGGGTTATTAGCCACTTACTAACTGGGGTGGGCCACCAAGTATTGAAATAGTACTCAGCATTCACCTTTTGCCTATAAAAGTAAATCAAGTTGTACAATGGCCTGGGAAGGCAAAATTCATAATCTGAGCTCAATAGGTCAACTGCATTACAGATCATTGATCTTTGATGATTTTTGCAATGATTCTCTTTGAGTACAGGGAGGGTGTCCTCAAAATTGGTGCAATAGCGACGTGCTTCACCGGAATCTGTCTGGTCAAACATGTAAACAGTTTAAGCTGCTTGAACCATTAATCATTATTTCAATGGGAATTCCAGGATCCTAAAATGGAGGTATTGCACCATATATAAGGCCATATTTTGTGGGGATATTCCCTTACATGGCCCTTACATAGACCTTATATATGGTAGGTACCTCCAATTTAGGTTCCTGTTGCATGGCCATTGATCGGGGATCATCCCACATCTGTGGTCCAGCTTTGGGGAACAGCTACGATTTGTTCAAAAAAAACTGATCGGATTTGGGGGGTAAAAAAATGGCATGAAAAGACCATTCAATTTTTGGATTCCTGCAAAAGTCCCCAATGAAACCAAAATTGGAGGTACCTACCATATATAAGGTCTATGTAAGGGCTATGTAAGGGAATATCCCCACAAAATATGGCCTTATATGGTACAGTACCTCCATTTTAGGATCCTGGAATTCCCATTGATATAAGTCAGTGGAAAACCCCATCGAAATCCCCATGGACAGCCGCCTGGAGCCGCAGGACGCTCACGTGGCGCCGCTCGCTGACCGCGCCGTGGCGGAAGGTGATCTTCAGGGGCCGCACCTCGGTGGAAACGTGTGGGAACGGGGCTGAAATCCACCATTTGGGATAGATCTACATATCTATATATATATATATAAATATGATCTAATCTATTATCTAATTTATAATCTAATCTAATCTAATCTGATCTATAATCTATAATCTACAATCTATAATCTAAACTAGTCTAATCTAATCTAATCTAACCTAATCTAATCTAATCTATCTATATGTACCTATATTTACATATCTATATTTACATATCTATATTTACAAATATATATATATATATGTATCCATAAATGTGTATATATATATACACATACACCTATACAATAGTTTGGTACAGTATATAGTAAGTCATTCTTATCAATGGTTCAAATATGTATATATATATATATATATACTTACTGACGGTTGAATAAAATAGACTAATAGTTCAAGATGCTGGTAAAATAAAATCAATTAGGTAGCATATACATTGTGTTTATATAGATATAGAATAGTAATGATTTTATACACGATTTAAGGCATTAACAGGCAAACCGTATATTTCATGTGTCAAATTGTGGTAGTTGAATGAAAACACAAAACAAGTTTCAGGTTTAACCATTGTTTTTAATATAGGTTGGTATCTCTATGATTGGATGATCTCCCATTTGGTCTCACAAACTCCGATATATATATATATATAAATTATATATATATATATATTGGTTGGTCTCCTATTTGGTATCATGATATATATATAATATATATATACGATAATTTCCAGGCCATCCCAAACCTCCGTGAATCGGGATCGCCTCAGCCATGAACTTCCGGACTTCGGTGGAACTCAGCTCCTCCAAGGTCTTTGCTTTGCCTCGTGCAGCCGAAAAAACCAATGGGTGGCCACCCCAAGAAATGGGCTGCATGGCAGTAACTCATAGCATGTGGATGGACAAAAACACCTAAGGACCTTTTTGAAATCCACCAAGAAACTGTGACACCCAGTTTCTGGGTGGATTTTCAGCAGGGCGGAGCTTCTGGGTTTCTTTGAGCCCGATCCCGACCTGCGCCAATGGCAAGCATCTCATCTCCGATCATGACACCCACACTGGCAGCCTTCGGTTTCACTGGACCAGCTGAATTGGCAGAATTTTTGAGGGTCGCCGGTCAGGGTTTGTGGGTTCTATCTTTAAGATCCCCTTGGGTGTTAAGCTACAGGATGAATTTGTCCAACTTCAGTGAAATGAGTGGCTTCTACGGTATCAAGCAATGCTTCCGGGTATCTTGGAGTATTGCCCTGGGATCATCAATAGATGAGCATAATTCACTGATCCCACTTGTAGTGGTTGTTCTGAGCACAATAATCTCAATCCAGGGTAAAACAATCGCCAAAATGAGATACCCATACCCATACTCATCCTACTTAAAAGCATTTGGGGTCAGAATTGTCACCCTTCAAATTTCGATGGTTTACTACTGTCCTGTGCCCTGCAGGATCTGAAACTGTGATTCATTTGCATATGTATATTGTGTCTATTGATCACAACCCTGGGCAGGTGAACACCAAAATAAATGGTAAAAGAATGGTAAAAGGATGTTCATGAATATATATGGCAGTAGCTATATGGTAGTATAGTCTGGATCCATTCCCAAATGATCCAAACCGTATGCTTGGACATGAATTAAATTGCCTTTTTGGAGCTTTCAGCCATAGGTTACACGCCATGAAAACCATCCGCTAACCATGGCTGGACAATGCACCGGCAATACTTCGATGATTTTCCCCGGAGTTCCCAGCCGGGGCCCCGACCCAACCATTCGGCATCACTGCCAGGACCTGCTTGTGGGTGGCCGTAACAGCAAGCATCATCTGATGTATTGGGATTTATTGTTGGATTTATTGGGATTATTGACATTAACTGTTGGATTTTTTGATGGATAGTATGGGATTTGGGATTATATGGCTTATATGGGATTTATTTGGCATTTAGGGGGATTGACTGGGATTGACTGGGAGTGTTTCTTAATGAATTGGGATTTATAATTATAAATCATTTCCCCCCGTGCAGAAAAAAAACACCACCCCAGAAACCATGTTTTGTTGTTCAGGGGATGGTATCAAATATTTGGGATGGGAGTATTGAAAACAGTACCGTAAATTGGGAGAACATTAATGATTAATGACAGTAAATTTTGACTTTAAATGGGAAAACATTTATTTTGGCTCCGGTTCTTGCGTAAATTGGTGGATGAGTAATGATAGTGATATCAGTTTCGAAGAACTGGAGCCAAATTTCGACCTTACGCAAGCTGAATGCATTGATCTTTGAGATCTTTCAGAATGTTGTTTTGATACGAGCAGCAACACCATCTGACTCAATCGGTTTTTTTCCAGTGCACAAACTTCAACTTGTCAACGGGTCCAAACTAAATAGTGACTAGTGATATATGGGATTATATCTGGGTAAATTATAATATTTCACTGACCTGAATCTTGCGGCCCCTTTCCTTGTTTTGAGTGCCCACCCCCAGCAGCAGCGGAAGGTGAGCACTGTGTCCTTGAAGCTCCGCCATTTCGGCGGGTAGACCTTAGTGATACCATTCTCGCTTTGCGAGAGCTTCATGTCTTCCAAGTGCGCCTCGTTGTTTTCAACCTGTCACATATCTGTGTCCAGTTGAGATCTTGCAAAGGTTTTGTTCTCGGTTGGCTCCACGCCGCGTCCAGCATCAAATCGTAGTTTGATTTATTCACCAAGAATTTAAAAACAAATTGCGCCACCTCACGCTGGTATGGAATGACAGGTCGTGGACTAATGCCACTGGTATATTGTTTGAAGTGTTGCAAAAACAAGCTCGGTTGAAGTCCTTTTTTGGCTGGGGGAAAAACATCCTTAGTGATCCAAATTTCGGCCTGACACCACATTTTTTGGAAGGTGGCTGCCAGGTCGTTCAAAGTCACACTGTGTGCAGCAACATCAGCTTGGTCCTCCACATGAAGCAACCTAGTTTGTCCCAAGTTATTTTTACGCAAAATTGGCAAAGCACGTTGAATCGACATAGAAAAACTTAGGGCTAGTTCGAGCCAGGAGATCCCCATCTCCTTCTCAAGCGGACCCTGTCCCTCACTGACCCATCGTATTTGCTCCATCCACGCAACAATTTTCATTGCAAGGTCGCTGCCCCATGAAAAAAACGGTGTCCACTCCATGGTGGCAGGCTTCTGCATGGCAAAAACGTCATCTGGCTGCCAATTGGCAACGGCCAACATGATTTTGTCATCTGGCACCTTCGCCGCTGGTGGCAGGGTGGTGTCTTCCTGTCGGGTCAACTGTTTTTCAGCAACGCTACGGGCTGTGCTGAGTTCCAAATATAACAGGTAAACATCATGCAACAAGTCACGCTCATACTGAATCTGGTTATGAAAAGCCTGCAACTCAGCTTGCCACGGCTTGGCAAGATCTTGGCACGCTCTTTTTGCAGTTTCATCTACTATGGTGTTACCCAAAGCATGGTAGAGTTGCAACAAGTCTGTGATTCCCGCCAAGTCTTGATGGGCTCGAATTTTTCGAACCCTGGCTGGGTCGATGTGTGCGGCACGAAGGGCTGTGAGCAAGTCTCTATTGGCACATTGTGGTCCGATTGGCTTGTGTTGGGCAACTTCCTGTGCCATATTGCATGCATACTGGCTATCCGTGTGCAGGATGGCTCGCGAGAACATAGCCGCTTGGATGAGTGCTGACAACTCTGCGCGGTTAATAGTTTGTTCTCCTATAACCCGCCCGGCAAAGCATGGCCTAAGTGTTGGGGGCACAATGCCCCGCACCTTGAATTGCTCCGCAAGTGAACGCCTATGGTCGTCATCCCTGGCCATGTCCATCACCCCCGCGAATGCGGCGTATCGAGTTGTGGGGGAGCTTGGAAAAACGCAACTCCCATCTATGTACATGTGGTATTCCCTGTCCATACGCAGGATGCAGTCTGCAAATTGTGTGAACTCCTGCGCTATGACTGGAGGAGGCTGTTGAAAATGCAGTGCCCTGTGCATAGCAGCCATAGGATGCACAGTGATGGCTGGCAGTTTGTCGAATTCCGCTCCTTCATCTTCCATTTGCCGCAGTGCTGTCGCATGCATGGAACGTGTGTCCTCAAATGTTGGACAATGAAGCAATCTGTGGGCATGACTGTCAGGTTGCTGGCAAAATTTGCACAGTCCACTGGCACCTTCGGCCCAATGGGCCTTTTGTGTCTCTAACTGGAACGCACCGGCTATCTCACGGGTGAGTTGCTTTCTTTCTTTGGTGGAAATTTTTTTCAAAACAAGCAGGGTATCGTCACGAGCGATATCTGGCATGCTAAAAAGGCTGTAGCGCGATGTAAGGTTCTTTATCAAGTCTTGTTGCCAGGCCAGCTCAAGAAACTTATAAACTCTGTGAAAACTGTCTGTGGCCAAATTGACGGACACAAGTGCATCTGCATGGACATTGCCTGCTGAGTCCATGGTCCATGACAGTTTGGTTAAATATCGTTTCAGCGCAGTGGCAGGTCCTTTGACCTGCGCTGTGGAACCTTGGAATTGCGCCGCAGTGGTGAAAAAACTTGTTTGCATGGCCGGTGTTTGAAGTGCAACCCATTGCATGGCAGTGCGAAAGGCTAAGGCCATGACATAAAACGCAGGATCCAGAATTGCCGGTTTTGTCAAGAAAAGCGCTATCCCGGGTGACATTGAAGGAGATTTACCAAACAGTGCATCGGCTGCAAGGCTTCTAATTTTGGATAGCACATCTTCTGCAACTGGAAATAGTTCAGACCCGTAAAATGCCGCAGGGTAAATGCTGGAAAAAAGCATCTTTTCTTTGACATCAAGTTCATATGTCATGATCTGTAGTTTTTCCAAGCGTTGGATGCCTTTGTCAATACGGGTTTTTCGATGGCCAAGCCTGTGAGGACCGGAGTACTGCAATTCAAAGCCCAGGTCCCTCACATGGTGAAGGCGTTGAATAGCTTCATTTGGCAATGCTTCATGCAGTACGTCTTGTGCCTCAGCAGCCACGGCATTTTCAGTGGCCCACAACCAGGTTTTGTTCCAGTCTATTCTGAGTCCACAGAGTGCAGTAAACTCAAGTGTCCTTGTGGCAATCGCTCCATGGTGTTGTGGATGTGTTGTGGACCAAGACCAGTTATCCGCATATGAGGTGCTTTGCAATGTTGGCAAAAGCAAAGCCTGGAGGCTGGCATTCCAAGTCAGAGCGATGGCTAGCATGACAAGCACGGAGTGCGAGTCGCCCTCTGGAAATCCACATGTGGCCAGAACGGGCCCATGGCTGCTAGAATCAATTTCCCAGTATCTTTGCAACTTCTGAATGCTATGATACCACTGATGGACATGTTCCTTGGGAAGTCCTAGGGCTAGCAGAGCACGTCGTCCGGCTTCTTGGCGAATGCAGTTAAAGCATTTCATAAGGTCCAGAGTGATTCCAGAAATAGGCTGCTTAGAAAGGATGGCCTTTTCAAGTTGCACCTGTGCCCCATAACCCGCATTGTGAGAGCCTCTCATTGGCAACATACCACAAATTGAGGGAGGAAACCACGTGCCCCAAAACTTCAAAACTTGTGAGCACCACACTGCGGAATACACCCTATAGCTTTGACTGAGAATGCAAATGGGTCTGCTTTGACTGGCCATGGGGGTTCCCTGGGTTTTGTTAAGAGGACACACCCTAGCTGTCATCAACCACGCTGGGAACCCATCCGAGTATTGATCACACACTCTGCGCAAGAGATCAATGGTGGCAGCTGGTAAAAGCTTGAGTTCCTGGGCTGTGATGGCATCATGTCCTTTTGCAGAACTCGTTTTGAGTTTCCTAATGGCAATTAACCATGCATCAAGGGAGTTATCTGCAACAAACGCCTTGGGCGGCTTCGGTAGCAAATCAAGGTAAGTCTGGAAAGCTTGCCAAGAATCCTCCGGCTGGATATCATGGGGTGCTTGCCACAGTGGTTGCCAAAATTGTGTGAGTTGTTCCGCAACTTGGTGGGGCTCAATGCGGTATTGTTCTTGAGTCAGTTTGGCAACTGCAGGTTTTTCAGCTGGGCTTGTGTGAAACTGTACACGGATTGTGGTTTCATCTTTGGCAGTTATCCACCCGAGTGAATTATCAATGCGCACTGGAGACCCTGTACACACCACTTCTGGATCGAAGTTGGAACACGTGACAACATTGTCATTCTGCCAGGTCAAATGCACTTGTACCTGAGTAGGAATATACACTTCCGTGATTGGTAACGGAGGGGCTTCTTTAATGGTACGAAATGCCATGGAAGAACTATGAAATTTTTTGTCACAGGATCTGGCATAGCCCACTTTGTGGCGGAATGTTTGCTGATCTTCGGCTACATTGATGTTCACTATATGTTTAACATATTGGCATGCTTGCGCTAGCCAGGCCTGACTGGGAAGTGGCCAAGGGGCTGGTCCAAGTTCGGGTTGGCATTGCACCCATCTGCAAAAAGGCATACCAAAGCTGGTGCATCTGAGAATGGCTGTCCATTCCTCAACCATCTGTTGGTGCTTTGGATGATCTGTCTGCAGACTGTCATGCTTCCCCATACGGCGATACAGTGACTGAAGCCGACGCATTTGTTTGACACGTCGTTTGGTACGCATCGTAGAAACTTCAAACAAGGGATTGTACTCACCACATCTTGCAGTCTTAGTTGCACTATAGACTGGTACATTGACAATTTTACGGGGCTGACATCTGCCACGGAAACGTTTTGGCAAGTGTGGCAATCCAATTCCCGTTGTTTGGTGGTGATCACGGACAGCAACATCTACAAGTTGTTCAACATGATGCCCCCATTCCTCCAGTGTTTGTGGCAAGTCGTTGACTTGTCGTGCTGCTTGTGTCAGTTCCTCTGCAGTGATGTCAAGTGCCACCCAGCTTTCAGGCAGTTTTATTTTCTGGCGGAATAGGTCTGGTTTAGGCAATTGCAAAGAAAACATCACCGGTGCATGTGTGGCAAACCATGTATCCGAAAGCACCTGAATATGGCCAAGGGTAGAAATGAGATGATGTGAAAGGATTGCATTGTCTGGACGCGTGGATCCTTGACATGTCGGTGGCATCGGTTTACCATATCTTATATCATGCAGTCCTATCAAGTCTTTACAACCAAGAACTCCTGCCATATCGGGAGTCCTTCAAGTTCCATATTGAAATCACCACAAATGATGTATGGGAGGGGCACCATCATGACTTGGGTGAGAGCGGCATCGAGAAGTTGGTTCAGGAACTCCTTAGCTCCGGCATGATTTTGGGGGATACTATACACAACCATTACTTGGATATGCGTGTGTCCAAATTGGGTGATGGTGTGAACCAAACGATTGGAGGTTTGCCATGCATCAGGTAAAGGATTTTTGCAGTATCGCATGGGTATCTTGGATATGACTGCTGTGCCCCCTGCTCGGCCGCGGACACTGGGTTCTCCATTTTGGCATATTCTTTGGGGTGGCACTGGCTGGCTCCAAAAACACTTGCACTGTTGGACGGACATTTCTTTTGACACAGTTTTTTGGACTTCTGCTGTTGCTGATGTTTCCGCAAGGCAAAGGACTTGTGCATCAACGGCTTCAAACAACTGCTGGAATGTTACTTTTTTATTTGCAACACTGGTCGGATTAGCAACGATCATATTGAGAAGACATGAAGGGATACCGTTTGGCCCTGGATTTTTTGCTTCACCAATACGTTCTGCACACCCCAGCATTGGAGTGAACTGATGGCATTGGGTCGAAAGTCGGAACAATGTCAACGGGATTACTCTGCCTACGTGAGTAGGCAAGGCTTGATGTGACACCGCAAAATGGCAACACATGGCATGGTGTCCTATACATGGATTATATGGACGAAAACTTAGCATCCATAGGACGTCACACTGTGTCCTAGTGACAGTGATCTCATAAGGGCGGCAAAATTGCAACCTGATAAATTGACCGACAGATGCTTTGCTGTTGAGCGGAATGTACAAAACCAACATACAAGGAGCATCCTCCAGGCCAGGCTTGTGTGCAAATTGAATTAAATGCTCTGGTGTGACCATTTTTCAGGAGTCGGACATGTCTTCCTGCTCCTTTGGCCGGTCTTTGCGCTTTGTGGTTGTGATCGCCTTCTGCAAGGCTAGCAGGTTGGCTTCGAATGACTTGTTTTGGGCAGTTAACGCATCACCAAATGTCTGATTCAACTCGTTTTTCATTTGGTCCATGGTCTGGAACATGGTTTTGGCAAGGCGCTGTTCTGTCATTGCGATTTCCTGCTGCACTTGCTGAATAGATTCTGCTTGTTTGTTTTGAGCACCTTGCATGGCCTCGAGCTTGTGCTCCAAAGCTGCAACTTTTTCATCTTGCTGGGTCAATCTTTGTTCAATCAGACCCTGTTGGGGTGGTGCTGGTGGTGGCATCAATGCTGTGACCTGCCTGCCTTGTGACTTGATGTATGTTGCCCAAGGATCTGAGCTCATTGCTGCAGCTGGTGTTGAAGGGAGTGCCGATTTTCTTGGACCCGCAATAATGGGCTGCTGTTTGCTGTCCTGTCGCTGTGGCAAAAGTCGTGGTAGCACAGGGTGCCCATTGAACGCTAGCAAGCCCACAGGGGGGCTATCACCTGCACATACAATCCAGCTTTTGGGCCCAGTTGCTTTGATCGGGCGAAATTTCCAAGCAACATGATTGCTCCATTCCAGCAGCATTGCATGATTGCACCCATATGGAAGGGGCTCCAGCTTGAAAATCAACTTGTTGGATACATCCACTGGCATCGGCAGATTCGGATGCAAGGATTTCCATGCCTGTTCGAAGTGGCCTGCTTGGATCCGTACTCCCATGGATGTTTTTCCCCTCACAAGGCCTGCTACTCCGTTGAGTTTGGCTGTCAGCGCCGAGGCTTTTTGGATATCACATGCGTTGTCCATCCACAGGACTTTGAAATCATCCGTCAGTTTGCCATCTGCACCTTTCGGTGCCATCCACAATTTGTTGTGTCCACTGAGTTTGAGGACTGGCAGAAACTGATCATCGGCGATTGCTGCATGGATTTGTATGCTAGTGGCATCTTTGTTGGTGGCAGGCTGTCGTCCCTTTCGAAGCGAACGTCCCCAGCAACTTGTGATGGCCGTTTGCAGCCCCTCAGTGACCATGACATCTTTGACAAATTGTGTGGTATGTTGCAGTGCTGCCTCCCATTCTTCACTAGACCAGTCCTGTCGCCACAAAGTGATCGAAATGACCTTGCTAGTTGCTGCTTTCATGGGTGTCTTATCCCAATCTTTCATCTTGAGATGCTTGGATCCAAACTGCACTAGCGTCAGTTGAAGCAACACCTGATTGGCATCTGAGTTGTAGCATGGGATAACTATCTCTTGCGTTGGCAGCGAGGTGTCGGTTGGCAAAGGGCCTAACACCAGCATTCCAAGTTCATCTGTGGATAACTGTTGGTTCTCCCGAAGCCAGGGCAGTGCACCTGCGGGATCAGTCATGTACACTCCTTGTTTGTTGGCTCGGAATTCGGATATCTGGGTTGTTGGCTGTCCATCTTCATGCAGAAGGTACGTGCAGTCCACCTTGAAGTCACTGGGGTCCAAGCTTGGCAGGGCACGTCTTTTGGATTTGGCCTTGAGGATCTGCGGTGAGTTGTTCACCTTCGGCTGTGTCTTTGGAAGCTGAATGGAGGCATCAATGAGAGCTTGATGCAGCTGGCTGTCACGGCGTTGGGATGCTGGCTGCGCAACAATGGGCACTAACTTCTTGATGCCTACATCATCCAGGATTTTCTCGATGTTGTCATGTGTCCATGTGAGCTCAATGCCTGATTCCAGAAGCCATGCAGCTACTCCATTGCGAACTTGCTGACGTAGTTGCGTCTTGGTGGCTGCTGGTCCCGCCCCTCCTGACATTTCCAGAGCGATCAGGAAAGTGTAGATGATATCCTCTGCATTCTCTTGTTTGCATGTGTGGAAAAACCCCGAGGCAAATTGCTTTCCCCGGTGTACCAGCCTGGTTTCTTTCAGTTTACACATGGGTGCCATGGATTGCTGAAGGATGGCATTGACCACTTCCGCGGTGGCATACTGGTCAATTCTTCCAAACCACAACGGTCTGGATTCCCATTTGAGTTGCATGAGCATTCCGTCGGTGGTCATGAGGGTGTCCATCATGCGTCGTGTCAGTGCAATGGCTAGAACTCTGGGGAATACAGCTGGAGGCACTGGCAGCCCTGTGTCGGCTGGGGCAAAATGCACCTGTGTAGTGGGCATCACAGGGTCATGGGTAACATAGCATGTGCGATTCAAATCATCAAGTGTGTCTTGGTGAATGGCCCCTGCATAAAGCTCTGCCATGATCTTTCTGGATTCCTGTTCACCGGAAAATGACACCACAATTGTGTCAATTGGCTGCACATATTGCATTGTGATGACGCAATTGTGACACGCTGCCAAAAGGGTGAGCGCATCTTTGCATGATTGGCAATGTTTCTGCGGAAATGGAGTGATCAGCAGCTCGTCATGGAATTTCTGGTCCTTGGCAATGCGACCATATTGGTCGTAGAGAACCTGTCGGTCGCATCTGTCTTTGCAAAAGGATTTGAGATCTGTGCCTTCGAATGCAAAAACGGTAAGCTGGTTGTCCATCATTGTGACGAGCATGTTGTGATCCAGTGTGACTGATCCTGCATTGGCATCTGGTGTGATGTACACCGCTGTATCTGTGTGCTGTGTGGTCAAGTTACCATGCCATAGTGCTGATAAATCCTGCGGTGCGACATCCGCTGCAATCCAAAAATTGTGTTCTTGGTTACCAAGCTTGATTACTGCCGGGACAGTGGGACAGCATGGCAGGGACAAGACAGACTCCGGACTATGTTCCGCTGGCGTGACAGGCGACATGGACACATGTAATGAACCTGACATGGCATGGGACTCGGGAACATGGCTGCTTTCATTGAGTGCGGTTGCTTCGGATGCAGAAATGGCTGCGGTCTCCGGTTTTTCGGCACCTGAACAGACAGTAGGCTCAGTGGAAAGGGCAACAGCTGCGTCTGCGGGTGTGGCTGCTTCTGGTAAAACAGGTGTGGCCGTATTCTGGTGATGCCCAGACATTTCGGTGAGCGACTGTGACTGGCACTGTTCACCGTCGTGCATGGGACAGTCCTGATTACTGCATGGTGGGGGCAAAACAGACACTGGACTGTCGACACATGTAAAGACAGGTGATCGGGACACTTGGTTTGGACCAGACATGACATGGACCTCACGGGCACGGATGCATTCACTGGATGTAGTGGCTTCGGATGCAAGATCGGCTGCTTTTGGCATCATGACGTCACCTGGCAAAACTACAGTGTCCTTGGTATGTACGACATCTGTACATTCGGATGTGTCCACTGTGGGGATCGCTGACCTGATAGGACCAATGTCATGGTCATGTGGATTTGCAACGGCTGGCAAGCTACACTGGTGTCCTACGACATCCGCTGCAATCCAAAAATTGTGTTCTTGGTTACCAAGCTTGATTACTGCCGGGACAGTGGGACAGCATGGCAGGGACAAGACAGACTCCGGACTATGTTCCGCTGGCGTGACAGGCGACATGGACACATGTAATGAACCTGACATGGCATGGGACTCGGGAACATGGCTGCTTTCATTGAGTGCGGTTGCTTCGGATGCAGAAATGGCTGCGGTCTCCGGTTTTTCGGCACCTGAACAGACAGTAGGCTCAGTGGAAAGGGCAACAGCTGCGTCTGCGGGTGTGGCTGCTTCTGGTAAAACAGGTGTGGCCGTATTCTGGTGATGCCCAGACATTTTGGTGAGCGACTGTGACTGGCACTGTTCACCGTCGTGCATGGGACAGTCCTGATTACTGCATGGTGGGGGCAAAACAGACACTGGACTGTCGACACATGTAAAGACAGGTGATCGGGACACTTGGTTTGGACCAGACATGACATGGACCTCACTGGCACGGATGCATTCACTGGATGTAGTGGCTTCGGATGCAAGATCGGCTGCTTTTGGCATCATGACGTCACCTGGCAAAACTACAGTGTCCTTGGTATGTACGACATCTGTACATTCGGATGTGTCCACTGTGGGGATCGCTGACCTGATAGGACCAATGTCATGGTCATGTGGATTTGCAACGGCTGGCAAGCTACACTGGTGTCCTTCAATCATGGTATTACCCTCAGAATGGGAATGGACTTCCGTGGTAAACTCATGAAAACCATTGACATCCCACCACACATGAGAAGGCATGACCCCTTTAGACCAATTGACGACCAAATCATGGATATGTTCATGTTGCACATTGGTAAGGTCGCAACAAGCTTCCACATGTCGCATGAGGGTTCCAGCTTTTCCACTTTCTACCACAACCTGTGACGCCTTTAGTCTGTGTTCTTCCCAGGTTTGTAAGGCTTCTGAAACAGTAACCTTGTCGCCTGGAATGTCAAACGTCATGCATGCCATGGTGAGAGGAATCAACGCATGTTGCACCGCAATTTGATTTCCCAGGTGCTTCCAGCTTGAACGAAAATCATTGAATGCAAAAAAGGATTCGGAGACTCCATGCAGTAGAGCCATTTCATGCGGATGCAGCAATCTGGCTCCATGTTGGGGATCCGCATAGAAATGAGCCATGCACCCCTTTTCCTGCAGTAAATGTTCTGGCAGAGTGTGCTGGACACCATATGTCGCCATGAAGACAGGAAACTTCTGAGACCCATCATGTGTGCGTTGTGTCATGGCGTTCTGGGTGCCAAGTTTCACTCGTTTTGCTGCTGGCAGATACCTGACGTCATGAACAACGGCACGCATTTGTGGAGAAATGAGCAATTGAGTATCCAAACCATCATCGAATGGGAAAAGAGCATCATAGTTGTTTGGTATCCAGTTACTCATAGTGGGAAAATGCAACACGGGCGCATCCACTGGAGGCATGTCAACCACCCTTTGCAAAAGTGCCAACCATCTGCTACGATTGAGGGGTCCAAACCATGCAAGGTCAACAGTGCGTGACCAAACCACCTGATATCCACACATGGAAATGGTTTGCATCACTTTGTGTTTGTGGTCATGACATGCAAAACCGCTAACTTGTTCTACGGCGATGAACTCAGGTTGCAGGAATCTTGACATACAAATCGATTCTGGCAAAAGGAGGCCTTCCATGCTGTACAATCCCTTTCCATGTCCTGCTCCTGACCACTGCTGACATGGAGAGGAAATGGTAATGATGTTCGGATGCCACGCTGATGCTGCATCCATCCAGTTATATGAAACCGCGCTGGCATGTACGACTCCTCCGTATGTCAAATCATGAAAAGCATTCACTGGAAGATTCTCAAAACCATTTAGGATGGGTACCCTATGATTGATGGCATAATTGGCACAGGCAAGCAAATCCGATTCAACTGCAATCGATGTGCATGAAAGATGCTTGGTCTTGGACAAATGTTTCATGGCATAACTCCATCCCCCAAAGCCTCCCCCAAACAGTGACAGGACCTTGATACCTTCTGATGCCTGAAACCCTCTTTGAACAGGAATCACAAGCGTCTCATCATCAACTGCATAATCCCACAAGGTTGTGTGAACTTCTGGATTCATGGTATGCAGACACCAATATTGCACATCCGGTTTGGGCACATGTTTGCGAAGGCTCCAGAGAACCGTGACTGCACCAATTTCATGTTCATCTGACCAGCTAAGGAAATCATGCATCACCGCATTGGCTGAGACTCCACTTGGAGCATATGTGGTTGCAGTCCAAAAATCTGATGAATGCACTTGCTCAAATTGGCCCAGAAGGAGGTTTGGGCGTCCCCTCATGTACTTTTCCAAACATGCATTGGGAGATCCTGTAATTTCCATGTCTCTAAGTAGCGTTTTCCAACCAGAGAAAGATTCAGTCTCATCCATGGCACTGAAAATGGTGGCGTGGCCCAAATTGGCACGCTGCAAGCGTGGCAGATCACACTACGGGCAAGTTTTGAGCCTTGTGTCCTTGAATCTTGCGGCCATTTGGAGATAATTTCCCGAATCCTAACCATGATTCCCAGTGAGGTCGCAGTGAGGTCCTTATAATTTAACCAGATTATATGGATATGCGTAATGAACCTGTCCAGATACCCTGAAAATTCGTCAAGATCAACTCATGGGATCTGCTCGAATTTTTCCAGCTGAACTGAGGGAACCGTTCGCCAGCCGAGGTGGTTATGACTGTGACGCCATGGAAGCCATGGCCCTAATCGAAATAGATGGTTTACCGTTCGCTATTAAATGGTGGATCTTTCCATGGCTATGTATGGCTATGTTAAATAACCAGATGGTAAATGGCTAATGAAGTATGACATATAATGCGTAAGTATACATAGAATGTGGGTTTCACCCAATGCAACCATCCTAAACACAACAACCCTTGATGGGTTGTGTATAAACCATCCCCAAATGGTACGTTTATGGCATTAGGTTTACTACACATATTATTGATAAACATTTTCAGCTGCCACCCATTCAACTGGGCCAATTATAATCTGGTTGGTGGTTTCAACCCCTCTGAAAAATATGAAAATCAGTTGGGATGATGACATTCCCAATATATGGATGTTCCAAACCACCAACCAGAATATTTCAGTAAACCTGAAACTCAGGGCCAACGATCTTCCATGTTGCAGCCGGTCATGGCTGGGGATGATTCCCCTGTACATTCACCATGATTCCAGGGTTCGGTCACGACGTGAGGTCACTCTAATTCATCCACAAATTCAACTCTATGCTTCATGAAGTATGAAATGGAGATCAATTATAGAATTATACATACATCATACATATATACACATATATATATATATATCATACATATATCGTCATAGATATATCATATAGATATTTCAGCGGAACCTCCCATATTTCAATGATGATGCAACCATCCCTCCGACCCAGCGCCTGGGTATTGTAAAGCCGAAAGCCCAGGTGTTTCACCGAGGCATCTGCCGAGGTCACCAGGTGAAAACCTGACGACGAAAGCGGAGCATCTTTCCGAATGGCTCCCCAAAAAACACCCTAGCACTAGCCGCTAGCCTCTTTTTATCTTTTTTTTTCATTTGTCCAGTTATTTCCCCAGCATTTCCCTCCATGTTTCATGGCCATCCGAGGCCATTTCTGGTCCCCGGTGCTCTTCAGCTCAGCAGCCATGACCAAACTCCAGCCGCAAGGGGCGCAGTTTCAGCATACGGCCGAATTCCTCCGAGGACATCCTGCGGCCGAAAACTTGCCGAACAAAACGGGTCAACTATCATGAACAATGTAAAACACATTTAGTTTTTAAAAGGTCATTTTTTTATTGAACATCACTGGGTTTTTAAAAGGTCAAGGATCATGAACAATGGGCACCTTAGACAAATGTTGCGTGAACTTCCGAAGGGTTTCAGCCATGGTCAAAGATCCCGCTCGAATCATGTCCGAATCATGGGATGATGATACCGTGATACCCTCCGCTAATCATAGGTGGCTGAAAAACCCACCACATTTACAGATGATCATCCCAGATAGAGACCTCCATGATGTACGAACATTTCCCAGCTAGCCAGTGAATTGCATCAGCTTTAGATCCAAGACATAACACATAAAGATGCATGAAGCTACAATCCTGGAAACCAATGCTCTCTTCTAGAGATGATGCTCTCTTCATTTTGGGTTTTGTCCTACCTTGCAGTGCCCCGGGAGGCAGCGCAGTCCAAATCACCCCGATGGATTTCTTAGAATGGAAAGTTCAAATGAGGACACTGATCATGATGAACCATGTTTCCGTTGGTTTTCCCCCAAATTTTAGACAACCCCATTGGCAAAGCGGCTGACCTCACAGTTTTGTATGGTGGATGTGTTCCATTCAAAACCCAGTTATGAATCAGCCAATTCTCGAAGTGGACTGGTTCAGCATTTGTGACCTGATTTGATTAAACAAAAGGTGAGCTGATTTTTTTGTTTCGGTTGTGTTGAACCACGTTTTGATCATCTGCAGGCCTTGCCGCATTGTAGCCATCCATCTGGCACAGATGGGGATGGGCAGGATGGGGTGTTTGTCACCATTGCCATGGAAGGAGCCAATTTAAAAAAAAACATTGCGCAACACTCATTAGCCATTGATTCAATTGATTAATCATGATGCAAATGAGGCTTATGCATCAATGTTAATGACTTTGTCAATATCAAAGGTTCCTTCGCGACTCAGGTTGCTGCAAATCATCCATCTGAGTTTTTTCGAGTTCACCAAACCCTGTCATCCCCAAACCGGGCTGTAGGGATTCGCAGTTCGTAGATTAGAATAATTTCCATTCATATAGTTAGAACTAGAAAAAATGTGAATATGATTACATCTATCATATGATAGTTCCATTGCCATCATTACACAGATTGTTTCCATTGTAATCATATGTAATCATCAACCTATTCTATGGAAGATGGCAATGAATATCTGGGTTGATCCCACATGACACCAGAGCCACTGCTTCCTGCTTGGATGTGCATCTCACTTGGCAAGGGGTTTCGAAGCTATTTACGTCCATATATATATATACATACATACATTGCATTACATGACAGATTCCACATTACATTCCACATTACATTACATATTACATTACACATTACACTACATTCCACATTACATTACATTGCACATTACACAATACACATTACACATTACACATTACACATTACATTCCACATCACATTACACATTACACATTGCATTACACATTCCACATTACATTCCACATTACATTCCACATTACATTCCACATTACATTACATTACACATTACAATACACATTTTATTACACATTACATTACACATTACACATTGCATTACAGAGTCCACATTATATTACACATTCCACATTACATTCCACATTACATTACACATTACATTACACATTACACATTACACATTACATTACACAGTACAAATTACATTACACATTCCACATTGAACTCCACATTACATTACACATTACATTACACATTACACATTACACTTTACATTACACATTAGATTTACACATTCCACATTACATTCCACATGACGTTCCACATTACATTACATTACACATACAACACACATTACATTACACATTACATTACACATTACATTACACATTACATTACACATTACACATTACACATTACATTACACATTTCACATTACATTCCACATTACATTACATATTCCACATTCCACATTACACATTACACATTACATTCCACATTACATTCCACATTACATTCCACATTACATTCCACATTACATTCCACATTACAGTACATTACACATTACATTACACATTGCCCACATTACATTGCACATTAAACATTAACATTACACATTACATTACACCAACCACATTACACATTACAACATTGCATTACACATTCCACATTACATTCCACATTACATTACACATTACATTACATTACATTACACATTACATTACACATTACATTACACATTACATTACACATTACATTACACATTACATTACACATTACATTACACATTACATTACACATTACATTACACATTACATTACACATTACATTACACATTACATTACACATTACATTACACATTACATTACACACCACGCATTACACATTACATTACACATTCCACATTATATTACACATTCCACATTAAAATTAAATTCCACAATACATTGCACATTCCACATTACATTACACATTACAGTACACATTACATTACACATTACAGTACACATTACATTTACATTACATTACATTACGTTACATTACATTACAGTACATTTTACATTACATTACATTACATTACATTACATATGTGTATACAGTGTATACGTGTATACATGTGTATATATATACACAAGTGTAGAAACATACTTGGTAGATGTGTCTCTCTCTCTCTGTCTCTATACACTTTTATATATCTCTATTAAGAACAACTCTGGTATCGGGGAAGCTCCCGAAAACGTGATGGGATCAACAATTGGGTATGATTTATCATTGGCCCTGAATGGGTGGCAGCTGAAAACGTTTATCAATCATATGTGTAGTAAACGCCACAAACGTACCATTTGGGGATGGTTTATACACAACCCATCAAGGGTTGTTGTGCTTAGGATGGTAGCATTGGGTGAATCCCACACGATATGTATGGTCAAGCATCGTTTCATACTTCATTAACCGTATAACTGGCTTATAACCTCAACAGTTGTTCTATATGTTACCATTTTTATGTGGTATGGTGATATAACTTGTATATAAGTGATATAACTGGCTAAGGTTCTATCCAGTCTATAATAATAACCATGAATATCCCATATTGTGGTAATATGTGTCATGGTCATCCCATGCCATGGGCAACCGACCAATGCAATGGGTATGACCATCCCGCAGGGACCGGGTGCAGTTCATATCCCCAGTAACATATCGAGGTTAATGGTGATTAATGGAGATTAATGGTGATTTAATCACCTAACATATCCCACTAGCATCCCATTCAATCATACCATAGCGGTTTAATGGTGAAAACAATGGTGATTTAATGGGTTTTAATGGTGATTAATGGGGATTTACCGTCTGGTAAACGTTTACATAGCGAACTGGAAAATCACCATGCTATTAATAGGTAAATCAACTATAAATGATCATTCTCAATAGCTATGTAACAAATTACCAGAGGGTAACATCCCATTAAATCACACATTTACATGGTTGTTGATCTAATTGGCTTGACCATGGCAGATATATTCACAACGGTCTCTTTAATGGCTCACCAATACTTTATGAACCATCACCAAGGATCATGTACCCCTTACTATCTGGGATGTTTTGGTTCTACAAAAAACAATGACCATTTATACCCAATATTTTGGTTATATATCCCATTAAACAATCACATATCACATATCCTGTTATTTTAATCCCATAATCTATACTATTATTTGTGTACTATTCTTATTGTGAATGACATTATTTGCATTACTATAATCATCGCTATTGGTTTTCCCACCATATATCCTACTATGTTTTTCTTTAAACTATTATTTTTACTATTATTGCTATTATCATCATCGTTCCCATTATCATAACTTAATCTATCTTAAATTTATCTACTATTTCTACTACTATTTCTACTACTATTTCTACTACTATTTCTACCACTATTTCTACTACTATCACCCCTTCTTCTTCTTCTATAGGTAATCTATCGTATATAAACCGTATATACATGTAGATATATATATATACACATCCTATATGGAGGTTTCCGAAGTCATGGGGGTACCCAAATCATCCAAGTCATGACCATGACAAGGTCTTGAAACAGCGATGACTTGGGGATCCCAATGACTGAAAATATCCCCACTTATCTATAGATCATTACAGATTATCGACAATGATTATAGATTATATACTCCATGACATATATTCATATCGCCAACCAAATGCAACTCATTAATATACTATGTGATATCCCCAATCCACTTTTCCACACTCATCCCCATTACATCTGACACACAAAAAACCATTCCCCAAATCACCATAAATAGGTGGTATGGTTACCATTCCAAGTGATGGGTGGTTTATGGCATTGTTTTAACCACATGATTAATAATAATTCACCATAGATAGCTCCACACATTCCAAAAAATCGTCCTTTCTTAAACCATAAATTTCCTATGGTCTATGGAATAATTCACCGTAGTATTAATGATCGTTTTTCGATAAACATCTATAATAATTCCATTAAACCATAGTATTTCCATAAAAATACAGAATTTTGGTCACCATTCATAAGGTTTGACATCTCCATATCAACCAAGACCCGCCTTGATCAAGCGATGATTGACCTCAACACCATTGCTGGCCGCCCAGCTGTCAGGTACCACGGAGGCCACGAACAGCTTGGACTGCGGCACCGGATGTCACCGGTGATGGGCAAAGATCCACCATTTCCATGGGCAAAATGGGGGAAAAAGCGGAGATTTTCAGCACAACATCATGAACACATGGACACGTCATGGACACTTCATGTGAAACTATGATTCAAAATATGATTGTGGACTGCCCCATACTTGGGATTTCGGAAAGAAGCCACGGGAATTTAATTTGATCACCTGGGGTCAAAGCACCAAACATCACTAATGTTTGACCAACAAAAACACCAAGCACGATCAAACATGGTGAAATTTGAGTGGTGAAACGTTTCACCACTAAGGGAGATCTTTGACCTGGTTCCTGGAGCAAGAATTCATCAACCAGGACTACAAACTCCCAGGCTGAGAATAGGAATGAATGATCGCTATTTTGGTGATCCCGGGTCGACCACAGCTATGGGATTCATATCAACCTGTGGATCATGGAGTCATCTTCCCTAACCCCTAGGACCCTTCACATGTTTTAGTGGTTTGTGGATCCTCTGCCGCTTCCACTTGTGTTTAGCCATCTAAGCCAAGATAAAAAGAATCTGCATACATCTTTCCAAGTTTCGTTGGTTGAAATCCATCCAGGTGATTATGATGTTTTCAAATAGCCCTTTGGCACACTAACAGATTGCTATGGAAAATGGTCATTGATAGTTGATTTAGCCATTAAAAATGGTGATACCCTCCGGTAAACGTTTGCATAACTATTGAAAATCACTATATTAAATCTACCAAAGGCTAGTTCTATCGTCCTCTTGTTGTTGTGATTTTCCAGTTCGCTATGTTAGTTCAGAGGGTACCCCTCCATGGCCTGGGGAGGTTGGGCTTCCAACTGGAAACCCGGCGAGAGGATGCCCTTGGGCAAGGTCAAGGAGTAGGTCCTTGGAGCTCAGTCATATGGATAACTGGGGGTAGAACCCCCAAAATGGTTGTTTTATCATGGAAAATCCGAAAATTAAATGGATGATTTGGGGCTAGTTCCCATTTCAGGAAACCTCCATATTGCAATTGGACTTGATAAGTGGCTTAGGTAACTACTGAAGTTACTTATGACATGAAGTTCATGCGTAGGACCCCATGACTGAGGATAGGGTCTATCACAAAAAACGCCCCCCTAAGGCCACTTAGCAATCACTGCAGTCGAGGCGCATGTCGTCGTCCTCAGTTTCAGTCTGTTGGAAGGCTGATAATCTTGGATTTGCTTAAGGGGTGCCCCCCCGAAACAAAATCACTATAGATTCCCCAAATGGTGGATTTTCCATTGGGAAAATAAGCCACCTTAAACGAAGCCAAGTAATTGATTGACATGTCCAGCTTCAACCCAGGTCGAGTGATTGACACCTTGATATTACAGGTTTTCTCTTAGCAGGGTTAGTTGATATTCCTCAGGTGGGTAAATCGATTATGGTTACGTATTTGCAAGAATAAACATGATAAATTACTCTCCAGTAATGTATAGATGATTTACCTATAAAAAATGGTGGATCTTTCCAGTTCGTTATGTGACAGTTTACCAGAGTGTATGGTGTTTTGATCTTGAGCAACGCTGCCCAATCAGCCCTAAACGGCAGAATCCAGTGTGACCTACACCAGGTGTACCCCCATTGGTTCGATGGTTCTTCCCATTCCTCCATTAAAGTCAGGATTTTCCTGCCATGTAGGAAAAAACAGGCTACATCTCAACTCTTATCCCAATGGTTATCTCATTAAATCTACTTGAGATTGATGCCATGAATCTCCATTAAATTAATATTTTATCAATATCTCATATTTTTCTCCCCAATTCTAAACCATTCATATCCAATATAGTAACCAGTACCAGCCATTATGACTATTATGAAGTAATTATTGGTTAAAACCAATTTACCCTTCATATCCACTTATCAATTAATAACCATTACAAGTCTTTAAGAACTATTATAATTGGTTATCATCCAAGTAGTCACTAGTAACCAATGATGAATGGTTATCTCCATTACAAACCAATGACTCTATATATATATATATCCAATTATCAATTAATAACAATCATAATTGGTTATCAACAATTATAAACCAAGGATTATCCACTTATAAACGCTTGATAAGCCATTGATTGGTAATAACCATATACTATAATAAAACTATAACTATAACCATTAATGTTATGATGGTCTCTTGGTATTAACCATTGATAGCCATTGATGTTTATGGCATTGTAAAATCATGAATTGCTTATTTATTGGCAAATATATACTTGCTTATTAAATGTTGTTAACCCTTATAAACCAAGGATTATCCAATCAATAATCACTATCTAATTGATAATTACTCACCATAAAACAATGAAACTTAAATCAATGGATGGTATCTACATTTTCCACCTTATAAACAATCGATGTCACCTCCCCATTTCTGACCATGCTCTGCTCGCCTTGGAATCAGCTCGTAAAAAGGTCAAACTCAAAGGACGTTGATTTAGCACCTGAAAAGGACCAACAAATCAGTGGAAGGGAAGGACATCTCAGGAAGTCATTGTTTTGTTTTTTTTTTAAATGGGCTTTTGATTGTTTTTAGTGGTTCTTGATTGCTCTCAACGAAGTTACTCCTAGTAGAACACTTTTTTACTACTAAAATAAAAAAACGTATGGGTTGAATATGGGGGTTTTGCTCCAAAAACATCCCAATTGAACAATGATTGCTTTTGGTTTCCAGGAAAAAGTGGGAGGACAACTACAAAAAATGGGACTCTAAACATCCTTACATTGCCTACACCATCTGATAATTCCAAGCAGCTTTCACTTTCACTTTGACTGGCGGCTCTCTGAAGTGACACCTTCATGGCCGATTTTTTTAAAGCAGCTATGGACGATTCGATTGCCAATATGGATAATTTTTACATTGCCAAGTTTATTTACCACATGGTATCGCTACTTCATGGCTCATCTGAGATACTTGGCACACCTTAGCCAATCTTATAAAGAAACATGAGCCAGCTGGATGAATTGATATTCCCCATCCATAGCAACAAATCAACCAGTCACAATTCAACACCACTTGCTTTGCCCAAATGAAATTTGGTACAACCTCCAGATATTTGGTGGAACACCTGAATCTTCAAACACTTTTGCTTGTATCCCCAATCTCCCCCCCGATATCTTGATGGTACCCTCTGGTAAACTAACATAACTATGGAAAATCACCATTTTTAATAGGTAAATCAACTATAACATGGTCCATTTTCCGTAGGTATGTTAGTTTACCAGAGGGTATGATGTTCGACATCCTCATTTTCTGAGACCACCAGTTGGTCAAGCCCGGATGCCTTTTCTGATTGAGTTGAACCCACAAAGCATGGATTTCCAAATACAGGAGATGTCTTTTTTGGATCTCATGTTTGATGCCCTCTGGTAATTTAACATAGCTATGGAAAATGGCCCAGTTATAGTTGATTTACCTATTAAACATGGTGATTTTCCATAGTTATTTTCGTTTACCAGAGGGTAACCAGATCACGACATAGTATGACATCTCCACAAAGAATAATCACCCAAAAAATGTCAGGATATGATCTACATCAATTACCCCGCCAAAAGTTGAGATGAAACCTGAAGTATGGCTTTCTAAACATTAGTGTTTGGTGGTTTTAACCTATCCGAAAAACATGAGTCATCTCAAGCAATTATCCTTTTTGTATTGGTTTCAACACAGTAAATATGTGGTTGCCCCCTCCCCAGCCCAGTATCCCATCGTCCTTCCCTACTATGGTGTTAGTCCACAATCCCCAAGACACCCAGGTAGTCATATATCATTATCGGACATAACTACCCAGGTAGTCATACATATATATATATATATATTGGTATATATATTGGTAATTTCATTAGTTCATATTGTGAGTTCCCATTTCAAAACCAATCAACCAAGGATAACCAATCAATAGTCAGTATAATCCCCAATAACATGCAATAACCAATAACCATTTTTTACTACACTCCCATTTCATAGTATCAACCAAGGTATATTTTTACTACTGTGGTCCCCTTTATTTCATCACCGCCATGCGTGAACTTTCCGGGCGCTCGGCACCACATGCGTGAACTCGCTGGGTTTCATCAACTGCAGCACCTTCCTTTGCACCTTGATAAGCCTCGGCGTTATCATCACCACGGTCATTATTATCAATGGTGATATTATTAATGTGATATTATAAGAAACTATGGTGATATTATTAAAGAGAATATGTTGATGAGAATTATTGGTGATACTGTGATACCACTGTTTTTATTATGATCACTGGTGTAATAGTAATACCATATGCACTAATATTGTTATTACTGGTATTACTATTGGAATGCATTATTGTTGTCATATTATGTATATATGCCATTTATATCGTTCATGATATTGTGGTATTGTATTTACTATGATGTGTATATATATATTGGCACAGGCTTTGGGGTGATTCTCTAGTGAGAATGCCTAAAATTCTGATGGTGTTGATGTTTCTGAAACGTTCCAACTATCTAGATTGTCGTTTTACTTTTCTATCTCTTTTGGGACCTTCATAGTAAAGGGATACTGGATGTGGCTGAACAGAGAGGAGGCCAACTCAACAGTTTTGATGGAAAAGCGCTTGGGAATTTTATTGTTTAATCAACTAAAAATTGGATTCTAAAAGTTTTCCCATTTTCGGGCAGGCTCATTTGGTGAAACGCCCGTTCTACACTGGATCTACCTCAATTATTGTGGCTCTGATTCACCATTGGCTGCAGCAAGCCTGTTGTCAAATACCCTCTGGTAAACTGTCACAAAACTATGGGAAGATCCACCATGCTATTAATGGGCAAATCAACTATTTCGACCGGGCCATTTTCAATAGCTTTGTTTGTTTACCAGAGGGTATCCATTATATCTGCCGACCATTATTACATCTCCATATATCTCCATTGTATCCCTATTGTTGTGGTAATATCCCAGAAAAAAATGTTTTACGACCATACGTTGCAACCACTTAGACTTGAGATATACTAGAAACGGAGTATACCTCAGTTACAGTGTTTGCAGGACATCTGTAGTACTCCTTTTGTGGTGCTAGTGGTTATCTACCAGGAACACCCATTCAACTTCATCTAATAGTTGGTTATATATCCCATTCAATCGCCATGACGATTCCATCAAATTACTATTCTTAGACACTCCAACCGCCTTGACCATGGCACATATACCCACTAAACAATCACACATCATATACATTCCAGTAAATTTAAAGTTCGACCCTGCCGGGGTTGGAAGATTAGTGAAACTAAAAATGGTGGATTTTCAGGGTCAAACTGTTAATTTATCAGAGGCTATTATAACCAACCAACGATTTCAAGAGAATCATGTGACATTGATGGGATATTACTGGTTGATGATAGTAGCTATGATTATGGTTATATATTATTAACCAGTCATCCCATCAAATTTGCTTTAGTGATTAAAATGCCAACCATTATTTGCTGGTGATATTAACTATATTAATTACTATAATGGTTTTTTGCTATAATGGGATATCAATACCAAATAACCAACCATTTACTATCAATGGCTGGTTCAATGGGATATTGCTGGTTATATTATTGGCTATTAACCACTATTAATCACTATTAAACACTATATTCACCACCGTTGAACCACTACTAACCGCTATTAACCATTATTAATCATTTTTAACCATTATTAAAAACTATGAACCATTATTAACCATTATTAACCACTATTAATGGTTCCTATAATGGTATCCTTCACAGCACCGAGCTTGCGCCCAGCAACTCATCTCCCTTCTGGATCTGCATCTTGAAGGCCCAGCCCTTAGGATCCACCGTCCTGGGCGCGTTGAACGCGCGGACTGCGAGGGACCTGGACTAATGGGACTAGTGACCTGGAAAAAACCATGTATAACATGAAAAATATATGTTAATATGATGTATTTTATGAATGACCTCTATATATATAATCTATACAAGTGTTCATCTTTACAACCAGTCATGAAAATCACCAGTCATTGAATATAGTAGTTGTACATTTAATGTTAATGAATGGTTGGTCTGGTGATTGGGATGGGGTTGTTTATATATTAGTGAGTAACCGTAATGAATGGAACCCATGAACTGGAGGCATATCTACAAACCAGAGTTATTGCAGGTAAAATAACCAACTTCAAAAGGGATTGAAACACCATTTTTACCTTAGTAACATACAAAAAGATGTGGAAAACCCAGAAACTGCAAAGATGTTTTCGTCTGATGTCCACGGCCTTGCTCTGCCCATGACAACCTTGTGTGAAGTCCAGCATGCAAAGCAGCGTAATTGGGCAAAGGTGAACCCTTTGCTGTACCAATGGATTTCACTGCCCTGGTTGCATTTGGAGCTCTGATTGGATGCGCTTTCAGGTCCAATTCGTCTACCACCCCCTCATATAAACTGCGTCCCTGATTCACACCAAAGCAATGGTCCAGTGACCGCCAGGTATCCAATTGCTGCACTGAAGGCGGGTGGTTCTGAATCGCGTGGGTGCAAACTTCTCAGCACAATGGTAGAAGTCCCACAGCACCCACTCTTCCTGTGGGCGGACTTCTGGAAACACTCTGCGGAACAAATTCTCTGCACATTTGGAACTGCTATGGTTAGCCTCAGGGCCACCAGCAACGCATGCCCCATCAGCAGAAATGGAACGGTCACGACCTTCAGTCAACCCAAAAGGTTCTTTGCCGTAGGTCTCACTAAGCAATGCCACCATCGCAGGCCCACGGTGGTCGACCCCAGTGATGGGCGCATCAACAAATTCATCCTTGACAAAGCCGTCTGCGCCCACAAACTGCCAACCTGAAACCAATACTTGGCGTTGTTAATTCATATGTCCATATGCTTTTTTTTGGTTTTTGAAGTTTTTTCTCTTCTCTGCGCGATGTTTTGCGCGGCAGGCACAGCGCTTCTGTCTAAGTACTTCTTGGCTCAAGTATGTCACGTGTTTGACTCTGGTTGCTGGCTGAGCTGACCTAAGAATTGCAAAGGGAAAGGGTATCTAGATTTTATGACTAAGATGGCTCAAGTTTTCAGCCTCAAGTTTAAATACCAACAGCGAGAGTGTCAAAAGAAAAAAATGGGTGGTGGTTTGGTGCGGGAATTATATATAGTAAGGCTCAAGTCTTAAAGACCGACCATAACAGCGAGAGTGTAAAAAAAAAATGGCTGCTTGTTTGGTGTGGTAATTGCTCAAGTCTTAAAGACCGACCATGGCCAACCGAAAAAAAGGGAAACTGGTGGTAAAGGTGGGCAACTGGGGCTACAGATGGTTGATTTTCCACATCGAACTGTTAGTTTACCCTAGGGTAAATGTTTTTTGTGATGACTTTGTGAATTTTGAAAATTGTGTGATGATTTTGTTCATTTTTTTGGGGCTTCAGAAAAAACACATGATGATTTTTGGAGCAGAATATCGTTGATTCCTCTAATCCCTATCCTAATGACACTGGGTATATTTTTCTACACGCGCAACTCCAGAATCTGGTTTTGCGAAAATAATAGGGTACCCCGTTCCATCCCATTATTGATATCATATTGTTGGTTGTATCCTGATGATATCCATGATATCCCCATTTTGCGGGTTACTTTTTCAATTTTTCCCATTGGATATCGCATGGCCAACGCCCATTCTCCCAAAATCGACACAAGTTGGATACAGTTGGCTATGTACCAGAAGAGATATCGAAATCTGCGATAGAGATCATCATGCATTTCGGTACAAAATTGGATACCTCAATGATCTTTTATGCTTCATACTAAAAATCGACAACAAAATCAGTGTTTTTTTACTGGTCTGTAATTTTGATCCATACCCATAACGGATCCCATTCTCAGCGACTAACTATTCAAAAACACTAGGCGTATGAAAGCATTCCTAACCATTATGAACCACCATTAAAATTCATTGGCAAAAATCAATCCCAAGAAAATCGCCATCTCATGGAGCCGAAATCATTTAATTTATATCCCATTCAACCAACATTTTTCCCCTATGGCACCAGGAGCAGCCTAGGCTCATCACCGGAATGCGCTGGCGCGGGGGAAAGGCCTTGGTCTTGAAGCCCAACTTGCTGACCATCGCGGGCACCAGCACCGTATACGGCATCTGCGATGAAATCACCAGATAAACAAAAACCATCCCCGAGGTTGGTAGGTGTATGGCAGGTTTTCCACATTAAACCATCATCATCATCATCATCATCATCATCCTGATTCTGGAGAATCATTCTGATTCGTGTGGATATTGACCAAACTTTGCTTAAATGGACCGCCACCAAAATCTACTGGTGAATTTGGGCTCATCCCAGCGATGATCAGATGCAGTTTATCAGTTTGGTTCCTGGGGAGAACCATCTGAATCTCGTTCTGAATAAGTCCCCCACAAATGTTGGTAGAACTACCAGTATCACGAAACAGGACTATACCGGGTGGTTCATCAAACTTAGAATCATCTAGCTACACATATCGTTCTTGATACCTTCCCCAAAGCAGCAGAACTAGGCATGAATCAGCCACTAGTCACAGGGGAAGCTGGCCACTGGACACAAGAACCGCTGATCATATGGAGGTTTCTTAAAATGGGCTTACCTCCAGTTCTCATCCTTTTTTGTTTTTGGATTTTCCACGAAATAAACGATCCAGCTATTGGGCTACTCCCATGACTATGGAAGCCCCCACTGTTTAGCCATCCCGTTGATGGGTTCATACCTCGGAATCGGCGGTTTTTGCTGCTTAATGCAATGAGTTTTGGATGTATCATGCGGAGGTTTCTGTGCAGATTGTAGCTAAAATGAACAAAGAGACACCATTTGGGGATGATTCTCCGAGCCATCTATGGTGATCCACACCACCACATTGGTTTGACGGAAGCTAAGCAAGCCATAGGAGTGACCAGCGAAACCATGGAACTGGAGACATCGGGACGAGTTCTTTGTCTCCTTAGAAGATTCGCCGTACAGGAAGCTCGTGGATCCAAAGCTCAGAGTGGACCAGTTGTCCGCATTGAAGCCAGCTCCATTAAGACGCAACGAGCTTTCTCTTATTATTGCTGGTTGGTGTTATACCTCCACCCCTGAAAAATATGAAAGTCAGTTGGGATGATTATTCCCAATATATATATATATATATATAGAAAAAACAAATCATTTTCCAAACCAACGACCAGATTGGGTTTCAGGGGGTTTTAGAGGTCATCGCAATAGAGGATTCAGTTCCACCAGGTCTTGGCGCCCATGGCGCCCCAAGCGGCTGCGCACCCCCTGATTTGTTGGTTGTAAGCCCCATTTGTTCAGAGTAACCATCGCATTTTGTTGGTTCAACACCTCAACAAACAAGTTTATTGTTAGTTCACTTCCATCATTGTTTGAAATCCACATTGCTGGGTCGCTAGATCCCTTTTTCCTTGGGTTCAGCCCGCCCTTTCGGTTGGAACAACACAATCCCCCAATATTCAATACCACACTGTAACTCCCCTAGAAACATCTAGAAACCCTGGTTTAGTAGTGGATTTCTTCATTTTAGGGTCACAAAAAAAGGGGCTGGGGCATTCAGGTTAGTCCCATTCATATCCAATTCATATTGGAATGTTCCATGATCAGTATCCCATTAATATCTCGTTAATCAATGTGTTAATATTCGAATCTCCCATAACTTATAGTTGTTTCCACTAGGTTATTAATTAACTGCGTATCAATCTGAATACTTCTTATTCTACATTAGCTTCCCCAAACTAGGAATACTAGTTACAGATATAGTTATAGGGGGTTGGGCATATCTCCTTAACCCCTTTAATACTAGGGGATTGGGACAATTACTAATCATGATTAACCACTATCAACCACTATGATCCATTAATCGCCATTATCAACCTTTCTTAATCGCTACCGCTATCATCCGTGATATCCACTATTATGCATTACATTATCCACTCTTATCGGTATCGACTAGTATCCATCAATATTATTATCTATTATTCACCATCCAACATCATTATCGTTGTTATCCATTACTATCCATTCTGTGCAGCTGTTTCTGGTTGACATGGACATGGGTCAAAACCTATGAAATTACCATATGACTTGGGGAATTACCATCCATCTAAACCAGCTATGACTTAGGGTACCGTTTGGGGTACCAGGGTCTCAACCATCACCACATCACCACAGCGGCATGGACCTGGCTCTTGTCCTCCAGCTTGGCACATTGCAGGGCCAGTGCTTGACGTTGTAAGCCTCCACCTTGGGTTTATGGGACATGGCTTGGATCATTGGATGGCACCAATTTTTTCTATTGATTTACTATCTCTTTAGTATAGGTCAATTTAGGGAAAATTCACAGGAAGCCCTGAAAATTTCATGGGGAAAACCGGGAAAACCTTGGGTTTCCTGTAGATTTCCCCTTCAACCGATCCAGTGAATAATGGGAGATATTCACAAACGCTCTCCAAAAATCAGAACAAACGGTTTATATATATATATATGTTACAATTGTAGATATAGTGGGACATATGGAAATTATGGTAACTCACCAACCTGAACTAAGGTGATTTTCATGGCTATGATCTCCTTCCCCAGGAATTGATCCAGATGCATCTCGCTGGAGGACTGGAATCGAGGACAAGTCGAGGAGTTTTTTTCTTTTTGAAGGGTTGGATTAGGCTTTGTTTGAGGTTGTTTTAAGGTTTAGTTTGGGTTGGTTTTAAGAATTATTTTGGGTTAGCTCTGGGTTCATTTTCTGTTGGTTGAAAATCTATTTGAGGTTTATTTACCTTCGTTTAAGGTTTATGTCAGGTTGGTTTAGCTTTTACTTGTGTATACGCATATATATATATATATATATACACATTTTTTTTATACGTATACATATTAATCCTTTATTTGAGTTTGGTTTAGGGTTTATTTAGGGCTTATTTCGGATGTAAAATTCGGGTTGGTTTCGGTTTCGGGACTATTTAATATTTATCCTTCCTTCCTTCCTTCCTTCCTTTCTTCTTTCCTCCCTTCTTTCGTTGCGTATATTGCTTTTTTGATGCTTCTCCCAACCGGTGTTTCCAAGCGTGGCTTTGAGGTCCAAACGAACTGCAGCTTGGATCTTCGTGGCCGCGCTTCCTGATGCGTGGCACATTTGGTGTCAGATCAACTGCAGAATTGTAGGAACTCACCCAAAATTGGACAGATTTTTGCTTATACCATATATACATATATCATCATATATCACTTGCACACATGAATATATTATCTGGTTGGTGGTTTGAACCCCTCTGCAAAATGATGGAGTTCGTCAGTTGGGATTATTCTTCCCAATATATGGAAAAACAAAATTCATGTTCCAAACCACCAACAAGTAATCTATAGATGATTTGCAATGATTTTCATGTTCAACCTACAGTTAGTCCGGAGATGTTCCAGCCATGTTTGATGACATCGAAGGTATTCCTTTAACTATCCATTTTCCGGTGGTACATATCACTCCATGGTCACTTCCATGGCCGGCTCACTGCGGACACCATGCAGCCGCGCCGCCCTCTCCATCCACGCCGTTGGTAGCTGCTTCCTTTGGGGCCGCCTGCCAGCTGCTGCACCGCGCGGCGAAGCGAATGGTTCATTTTGTGGATAAACTGGACTAATAGTGGGATAATAAATACTTATGGGACAACAATGGCATAATTATGGTAACATCTGCAATTGAACATAATCGAATAGTTTTTGGATAATAGTGGAAATTTTTATGGGACTTCAACTGGTTCACTTTCCTCCAGACCAAGTTGCAGAAACTGGACTCACCAGATTGAATGGTTGCTGAGCTGTGCAGCATTCTTGCTCAAATCCCTGTGCATGTATCTCCCTTTGTGGTTGGTTCGGTCCCCAATGTTTGGTTGAAAAGAGATTCTTTTGGATTCGAGGCTATTCCTGTTGTTGGTTAAATCCTTTTGTAACCTATCCCTATCAAGAAACATATGAAACCTCCATCCGTTGCCGCCAAACCGTTCCCCCAGAAATTCTTAGATGTGGGAAATGGCTTCAATCCAATGGAAAGTGGACACCCAGTAGTAACAAGTTAAACAAACTATTTTTCCCAAACAAACAAATGGAGGTTTCCTCATCCATTTTAATAGGATTTTCCATTATAAACGAATCCATTTTGGGGTACCCACCGTTTATGGAAGCCCCCAAATTGATAACCAGGCACCAAATCGAGGGGAAGTCCAAGTGATGACTTTCATCTGTGCAACCCCGTGCCACACGGTTGCCAGCCCTCTGTGAATGTGTGTGGTGTGGAAACCTGGGAGAAAAACACAAGCATCACCGAGAATGATAAAAACAAAAAACATGCTAGAAATGGATAAGTGTATAAACGAAAAGAAGAAAAGAAACTAAAATAAACAAGAAAAACAGAACAAGTTTGGAAAACGAAGACAAAGAAGAAGTGGAAGTCTTTGGATAAAGCATATTCAGAAAAAATGATTGAAAGGCAGGTTTAGCGGAACAATAATTTGAAAGTTTGCAGGAGATGCAAGAAATCGATGCAAAAACGTAGCCGTACCATTGGGCAATATTTGCCTACTGATAATTGCATACCAGTGGACAAGTGTATTGCTGCTTTCTTGCATGCTTCCCCCAACCGTTTTTCTACGTTTTCCTCTTCTGTAGCTGCATATTCTTCTCTTTGAAGGAAAACGGTATGGGAACGGGGGATGAGCTTGCGATCCCTTACTCTTCACTCTTTCAGACCACTTTCAGGTTTCAAACCACTTTTAGGAACCCACAAAGTTTGAAAAGGAGGAGGAAGAGAAATAACACACTAGAAGTTTTCGCTACTAGATGGGTACAGTAGACACTTCATTCGCAATGATAGAGCCAAACACCAATTGGCCAGCCGCTTGGATTTGGTATCATCAAATCATACCGAATTCGCGGGACAGGAATTGGTACATCGTAGCCCTTCAAGGTATTTGAGGATTTCAAATCGGTACAGCAAAGAGGTAGTGATATGTGATGATATACAATGTGTACAGTTATTTACATCATATAGCAGCTATACTCAAAACAAGGGGGGGCCTGAGAACCCAAAAGCAAAACGACAGCAAACAAATGAGTAATACTGATAATTGGTTTATTTCTTTTTCGCCTCTTGCCAGCTTCTTTTTAGAAGATGAACGTTATGGACGCATTCACTGCAAATTTCATTTTTCCCCACCTGCCAGGTGAGGGTTGTTTGATTTTATCAGAGTTGTTCTCCTCGGCTAGCTGTCCTCCTCGTCCTCGTCCTCCTCCTCCTCCTCGTCCTCCTCGTCCTCCGCCTTCTCCTCCTCCTCTGCCTCCTCCTCCAGTTTCTCCTCGATCATGTCTGCATCAACTTCCACCTCAACTTCCGCCTTGCCAACTCTTCGCCAAGCTCTTTGCCAACTTCCCAGCTCAGTGCACCGGTGGACCTCAACCTGGGACCAAACCAGCTCAGTGTGCACCGCTGGACCTCAACCTGGGGATCTGCCCAGCTCAGTGTGCACCGCTGGACCTCAACCTGGGACCTTCCCAGCTCAGTGTGCACCGCTGGACCTCAACCTGGGACCTTCCCAGCTCAGTGTGCACTGCTGGACCTCAATGGCCAGATAGAATACCAGAAGATATGCCAGATAGAGTGTTAGAAGATATGTCAGATAGAATGCCATAAGATATGCCAGAACATATTGCAGAAGATATGCCAGGTAGAATGCCAGAAGATATGCCAGATAGAATGCCAGAAGATATGCTAGATAAAATGCCAGAAGATATGTCAGATAGAATGCCAGAAGATTTGCCAGTAACAAAACGTATAAATATCATGGTGGGGATAACTCGAAGTAAAGTAATTTCAGCACTGCGCGGAAACATTGAGTGACAGTGTGCAATAGCCAAGCAAGCTCATTTGAGCACGGTCATGCGACGGCGGCTGATTTCCAAATCAACCTCTCCTTTCCTTTCCCTTCCTTCCTTCCTTTCCCGTCCTTTCCCTTCCTTTCCCTTCCTTTTCCGTCCTTTCCCTTCCTTTCCCTTTCTTTCCCTTTCTTTCCCTTCCTTTCCCTTTCTTTCCGTTCCTTTCCCGTCCTTTCCATTCCTTTCCCTTCCTTTCCCTTCCTGTCCCTTCCGTTCCCTTCCTTTCCCTTTCTTTCCCGAATGCGTAGCAAGGGTTCCCGTTGCCCAACCGTCCGCAACCACTCGCAACCGTCCGCGCGATTGCTATATGGCCGTGCCTCTGGTAAGTTCTCCAAAAGGGGTAATTTTTGCGTTTCGCGTGGCAGGCGTGGCACTTCGTGACATTCAGACGTGTTTTGTAACGTGTCGAAAGTCATTGTGTGTGGCAGGCGCAATACTTTTGCGACGTTTTCAGAAGATGCGTTGCAGTTTTCGTGGCAGGCGCAGCACTTTGGACGTGTCCATCGTCATTTTGCGTGGCAGGCGCAGCACTTTAGACGCGTAGTGTTGCGTGTTTTTTACGAGGCGCATTGGCAGGGCTGCGTCAAGTGGCGACAAGGTGCAGATTCCGTGGCAGACGTGGCATTTTGTGAGATGTGCTGAAAATTGACGGAAGCCTCCCACGAAACATCGATTTTGAGGTAGCAAACTTAAAGGCTCGTACGAAAACTCGTGGGAAAATTTTGAGGCTACAAAGTGTGAAAATTGGAGGAAGTCTCGCACGAAAGGCTCGTTTTGATGCTCCCACATCTCTCGTCTCAAGTCTCTGGTTTTCCTGTGGCGTCGCCGTGTCTATGGGGGAAGCTGCAAAATCTCTCCTTTTCGAAGGTTTCCAAGCAGGTTGTCATGTCGTTTTGCGTGGCAGGGGTGGCACTTTACACTCTACACTCCCCACTCTACACTCCACACTGCACACTCTACACTCAACCACACCCTACACTTTGCACACTCCTCACTCCACTTTACACTTTACACTCTACACGCCACACTCCACACTCGACACTTTCCACTCCACACTCTACACTCCACACTTTACACTCCACACGCCTCACTCCACAATTTACACTTTACACTCCTCACACCACACTCTACAATTTACACTTTGCACTTTCCACTCCCCCATTCACACTCTACACTTTACACTCTACACTCCACAGTTTACACTTTGGACTCCACACTTTAAACTTTGCACTCCACACTTTACACTCCTACACACTCCACACTCTACACCCCACGCTCCACCACACTCCACACTCTACACCCCACACTCCACCACACTCCACACTCTACACCCCACACTCCACCACACTCCACACTTTACACTCCACACTCCACAAACTACACTTTCCACTCCACACTCCACACTCCACACTTTACACTCCACACTCCTCACTCCACAATTTACACTTTACACTCCTCACTCCTCACTCCACACTTTACACTTTGCATTTTGCACTCCTCACTCCACACTTTACACTCCACACTTTACTCTCCACACTCCGCACTCTACACTTTACGCTGTACACTTTACACTCTCCACTCCACACTTTACATTTTCGACTCCTCACTCCACACTTTACATTTTACACTCCTCACTCCACTCCACACTCCGCACTCTACACTTTCCACTCCACACTTCACACTCTGCACTTTCCACTCCACACTCCACACTCTACACTTTACACTCCATACTCTTCACTTTACATTTTTCACTCCACACTTTACATTTTACACTCCTCACTCCACGCTTTACACCCCACACTCCACACTTCCCACACTTTACACTCCACACTTTACACTCCACACTCCTCACTTTATACTCCACACTCCACACTCTACAGTTTCCACTCCACACTCTACACTTTACACTCCTCACTCCTCACTCCACACTTTATACTTTACACGCCACACTTTACAGTTTGCACTTTACACTCCCCACTCAACACTTTACACTCCACACTCCACACTTTACACTCCACACTCCACACTCTACACTTTACGCTCTACACTTTACACTCTACACTCCACACTTCACACTTTACACTCCACGCTTTCCTCTCCACGCTTTGGACTCCACACTTTACACTCCACACTTTACACTCCACACTTTTACGCTCCACACTCCACAGTCTACACTTTACACTCCACACTCTACACTCCACACTCCACACTTTACCCACTGCACACTCCACACTTTACACTCCACACTCCTCACTCCACACTTTACACTCCACACTTCCCACTTTACACTCCACACACTACACTTTACACTCCACACTCCACACTTTACATTCCACACGCCGCGCTCTACACTTTACACTCTACACTCCACACTCTACACCGTCCACTCCACACTGCAGACTGGTAACGGGGGAAGTATGTATATATACGAGACTGAGACTGTTCAAATAAACTATTGCAGAAAATTGTTCTGAGTGACTGCATATCCATTTCGGGTTCGTGGGCTGCATCTTGTTCTTCTCCCCGCCTATTGCCAGCCACTCCCTTGCACCCACGCCGTCCGCAGCCGTCCGCGCCATTCTCCGCACCCATTTCCCGTCCGCAGCCGTCCGCGCAGCCAAGCTCGCTCATCTCCAGCGGCTTCTTCTCCCCACCCATTTCCAGCCACTCCCTTGCACCCACGCCGTCCACAGCCGTCCGCGCAATTCTCCCCACCCATTTGCCGTCCGCAGCCGTCCGCGCAGCCGAGCTCGCTCATCACCAGCGGCTTCTTCTCCCGAACCATTTCCAGCCACTCCCTTGCACCCACGCCGTCCGCAGCCGTCCGCGCAATTCTCCGCACCCATTTGCCGTCCGCAGCCGTCCGCGCAGCCACGCTCGCTCATCCCCAGCGGCTTCTTCTCCCCACCCAACCCATTTCCAGCCACTCCCTGGCACCCACGCCGTCCGCAGCCGTCCGCGCAATTTCCCCACCCATTTGCCGTCCGCAGCCGTCCGCGCAGCCAAGCTCGCCCATCCCCAGCGGCTTCTTCTCCCGACCCTCCCTGCACCCACGCCGTCCGCAGCCGTCCGCGCAATTCTTCCCATCCATTTGCCGTCCGCAGCTGTCCGCGCAGCCAAGCTCGCTCATCACCAGCGGCTTCTTCTCCACCCATTTCCAGCCACTCCCTCGCACCCACGCCGTCCGCAGCCGTCCGCGCAGCCAAGCTCGCTGATCTCCAGCGGCTTCTTCTCCCCACCCATTTCCAGCCACTCCGTTGCACCCACGCCGTCCGCAACCGTCCGCGCACTTCTCCGCACCCATTCCCCGTCCTTAGCCGTCCGCGCAGCCAAGCTCGCTCATCACCAGCGGCTTCTTCTCCCCACCCATTTCCAGCCACTCCCTTGCACCCACGCCGTCCGCAGCCGCTTTCCCCTCCTTTTCCGTTCCTTTCCCATCCTTTCCCTTCCTTTCCCTTCCTTTCCCATCCTTTCCCTTCCTTTCCCTTCCTTTCCCTTCCTTTCCCTTCCTTTCCCTTCCTTTCCTTCCTTTCCCATCCTTTCCCTTCCTTTCCCTTCCTGTCCCTTCCTTTCCCTTCCTGTCCCTTCCTTTCCCATCCTTTACCTTCCTTTCCCTTCTCCCCACCCATTTCCAGCCACTCCGTTGCACCCACGCCGTCCGCAGCCATCCGCGCACTTCTCCGCACCCATTTGCCGTCCGCAGCCGTCCGCGCAGCCAAGGTCGCTCATCACCAGCGGCTTCTTCTCCCCACCCATTTCCAGCCACGGGGTGCACCCACGCCGTCCGCAGCCATCCGCGCAGTTCTCCGCACCCATTTGCCGTCCGCAGCCGTCCGCGCAGCCAAGGTCGCTCATCACCAGCGGCTTCTTCTCCCCACCCATTTCCAACCACCCCCTTGCACCCACGCCGTCCGCAGCCGTCCGCGCAGTTCTCACCGAACCCATTTGCCGTCCGCAGCCGTCCTCGCAGCCAAGGTCGCTCATCACCAGCGGCGTCTTCTCCCCACCCATTTCCAGCCACTCCGTTGCACCCACGCCGTCCGCAGCCGTCCGCGCAGTTCTCCGCACCCATTTGCCGTCCGCAGCCGTCCGCGCAGCCAAGGTCGCTCATCACCAGCCCCACCCATTTCCAGCCACCCCGTTGCACCCACGCCATCCGCAGCCATCCGCGCAGTTCTCCGCACCCATTTGCCGTCCGCAGCCGTCCGCGCAGCCAAGGTCGCTCATCACCAGCGGCTTCTTCTCCCCACACATTTCCAGCCACCCCCTTGCACCCACGCCGTCCGCAGCCGTTCGCGCAGTTCTCCGCACCCATTTGCCGTCCGCGCAGCCAAGGTCGCTCATCACCAGCGGCTTCTTCTCCCCACCCATTTCCAGCCACTCCGTTGCACCCACGCCGTCCGCAGTCGTCCACGCAGTTCTCCGCACCCATTTGCCGTCCGCAGCCGCGCGCGCAGCCAAGGTCGCTCATCACCAGCGGCTTCTTCTCCCCACCCATTTCCAGCCACCCCCTTGCACCCACGCCGTCCGCAGCCGTCCGCGCAGTTCTCCGCACCCATTTTCCGTCCGCAGCCGTCCGCGCAGCCAAGGTCGCTCATCACCAGCGGCTTCTTCTCCCCACCCATTTCCAGCCACCCCCTTGCACCCACGCCGTCCGCAGCCGTCCGCGCAGTTCTCCGCACCCATGTGCCCTCCGCAGCCGTCCACGCAGCCAAGCTCGCTCATCACCAGCGGCTTCTTCTCCCCACCCATTTCCAGCCACTCCGTTCCACCCACGCCGTCCGCAGCCGTCCACGCAGTTCTCTACACTTTACCCTCCATACTCTTTACACTTTCCACTCCACACTCCACACTCTACACTTTACACTCCATACTCTTCACTTTACATTTTTCACTCCACACTTTACATTTTACACTCCTCACTCCACGCTTTACACCCCACACTCCACACTAACTTCCCACTTTACACACCACACTCTACACTTTACACTCCACACTTTACACTCCACACTCCTCACTTTATACTCCACACTCCACACTCTACAGTATCCACTCCACACTCTACACTTTACACTCCTCACTCCTCACTCCACACTTTATACTCTACACGCCACACTTTACAGTTTGCACTTTACACTCCTCACTCAACACTTTACACTCCACACTCCACACTTTACACTCCACACTCCACACTCCACACTCTACACTTTACACTCTACACTTTACACTCTACACTCCACACTCCACACTTTACACTCCATGCTTTCCTCTCCACGCTTTGGACTCCACACTTTACACTCCACACTTTACACTCCACACTTTTACGCTCCACACTCCACAGTCTACACTTTACACTCCACACTCTACACTCCACACTCCACACTTTACCCACTGCACACTCCACACTTTACACTCCACACTCCTCACTCCACACTTTACACTCCACACTTCCCACTTTACACTCCACACACTACACTTTACACTCCACACTCCACACTTTACATTCCACACGCCGCGCTCTACACTTTACACTCTACACTCCACACTCTACACCGTCCACTCCACACTGCAGACTGGTAACGGGGGAAGTATGTATATATACGAGACTGAGACTGTTCAAATAAACTATTGCAGAAAATTGTTCTGAGTGACTGCATATCCATTTCGGGTTCGTGGGCTGCATCTTGTTCTTCTCCCCGCCTATTGCCAGCCACTCCCTTGCACCCACGCCGTCCGCAGCGGTCCGCGCAGTTCTCCGCACCCATTTGCCGTCCGCAGCCGTCCGCGCAGCCAAGGTCGCTCATCACCAGCTTCTTCCCTTTTCCTTCCTTTCCCATCCTTTCCCTTCCTTTCCCTTCCTTTCCCTTCCTGTCCCTTCCTTTCCCATCCTTTCCCTTCCTTTCCCTTCTCCTCACCCATTTCCAGCCACCCCTTTGCACCCACGCCGTCCGCAGCCGTCCGCGCAGTTCTCCGCACCCATTTGCCGTCCGCAGCCGTCCGCGCAGCCAAGGTCGCTCATCACCAGCGGCTTCTTCTCCCCACCCATTTCCAGCCACCCCCTTGCACCCACGCCTTCCGCAGCCATCCGCGCAGTTCTCCGCACCCATTTGCCGTCCGCAGCCGTCCGCGCAGCCAAGGTCGCTCATCACCAGCGGCTTCTTCTCCCCACCCATTTCCAGCCACTCCCTTGCACCCAGGCCGTCCGCAGCCGTCCGCTCCATTCCTTTCCTTTCCTTTCCCATCTTTTTCCGTTCCTTTCCCATCCTTTCCCTTCCTTTCCCTTCCTTTCCCATCCTTTCCCTTCCTTTCCCTTCCTTTCCCTTCCTTTCCCTTCCTCCTTCCTTTCCCATCCTTTCCCTTCCTTTCCCTTCCTGTCCCTTCCTTTCCTTTCCTGTCCCTTCCTTTCCCATCCTTTCCCTTCCTTTCCCATCCTTTCCCTTCCTTTCCCTTCCTTTCCCTTCCTTTCCCTTCCTTTTCCCTTCCTTTCCCTTCCTTTCTCTTCCTTTTTCCTTCCTTTTTGCTTCCTTTCCCTTCCTTTTTCCTTCGTTTCCCTTCCTTTCCCTTCCTTTCCCTTCCTGTCCCTTCCTTTCCCTTCCTGTCCCTTCCTTTCCCTTCCTTTCCCTTCCTTTCCCTTCCTTTCCCTTCCTTTCCCTTCCTTTCCCTTCCTTTCCTTTCCTTGCCTTTCCCTTCCTTTCCTTTCCTTTCCTTTCCCTTGCACCCACGCTGTCCGCACACCACCGTTCGAGCCAGGTCGCTCCCCCACGCGGTTAAACAACTAAACGAGAACCCAAGCATCGAAGATGCTTTTGGGAAAAATGGAAAAAAAAACAAAACATCGATTTTCCAACCGAAGCATTTTTTGGACAACGGAGCTGCCCTACATGGTGTTGGGCTCCCCCACCTAGCTCCGGCGGCACGTGCGTCAGGTCATTGTTGGACAGGTCCAAAGTACTGAGCCCGGCCGCTTTCAGGATGCCCTCTGGGAAGATCGTCAGCTTGTTGCTCTCCTTGGCACTTTAATGGGATTTTATGGTGATTTAATGGGATTTTATGGTGATTCAATGGGATATTAATGGGATTGATACCCTCTGGTAATTTGTTACAGTTTGCTATTGAAAATGACCATAGAAATAGATAGAAATAGTGGATTTACCCATTAATAGCATGGTGGAATTTTCCAGTTCGTTATGTAAACGTTTACCAGAGGGTAACTATCCAGGTGACCTGAGGAAAACTGAGTGCGAAAAACGCCATGGGGCTGCATGGGCTTGCCCATGGATACTCTTAGTCAACTGAACCACTGAGAACACCAGAAATCGATGGAAGAAGTCCTGATACATATGCACAAAGTCTACACACACACCCGAAAAAGAACACAAGTCACTTGTTAAGATTGATTTTACTGAACACTGATGAAGATTCGAGGTTATGATCTTATGATACTTCTGTGGAGAGTTGGGTGGCGGAAAAAAAATATAAACAAACCTAAGTCGCTTGTTAACATGTCTCCTCATGGTCAATCTTTGGTATCCTTATGACTTATGATAGTCCACAAAATTCATGGTCATCTTTTGCTCTTTGGACTATCATAAGGATACCAAATAGGGATGATAAAGTACCATAAAGTACCTTATGTCACTTATGTCATCTCAGGTTATCTTTATTTTCCATTTGGGGATGGATGGGTCAAAACCTATAAATTCCTACCATATCTCAGGGAACCAACATCCGTTTGCTGCCCCAGCTTCGGCCATGAGCACGGACAGCTGCGGCACCATACGCAGCTCCAGATGTTCCAAGGAATTGTTGGACAGGTTCCTGGACGTTGTGGGCCCATGGTCTATAAAATCTATAAAGGATGAATATAGGGATGAAACCTGGGCTTGCTAGCCTGGGCTTTCTACGGGATGAATCTGGAGAAATCATGGAAGATCATAGAATATGTCGGTCGTTAGAACTGGGTGCAAGGGCTGTGCTTGTTGATATTCTGAATTATATAATCGAGGACTTCTTCAGTATCAGGCCAAGGCATAACTATGATACAGAATGATACGCAAGATCAACCAAGCATCACTAGTTAAGTACTGCTTTAGGCCCAAGGTTTGGAATCTTAGAACTGTGGACTATGGAGTATCCCCAAGATTTGAAAAAAATCAGCAATATCAGCCCCAAAACCGACTGCATACCCAGGAATTCGACTATGCAATTCGTTCTCCTGCAGCAACATGCCGGTCTCAACTGTGTTCATCAGCCAGACCCTCTGGTTTTCATTCGTGTGGCAATGGGACATCCATATATATATATATATCAATTTTTTATCCATACAAATGCCGGACTTTCCATTGCTACCGGAGTAGAATCCCCGTTTGAGGATAGATTATGATCAACTCAATTCACATATTCAAATATTCAAAAATATGTGTGTATATATATATATGTATATATATACATAATACATTATATATATATAAATCCCAATCTGTTCCTAATTTGGCATGGCAAAAGTCATCGACAATCCCGCCATGTTGCCCCAGTGATACCCCAGTGCTACCAGATTCTACCAGGGCTCAGGGAGTCCAAAGATGGCAGAGTTCCCAGGATCAGCGATCCCAGTTTGTTGTCGGAGAGATCCAGCGAAACCAAGCTGCCATGGTCCTAGGATGTTGATGTCTGATGAAAGCTTCAGATACGTTTTCAGCATTTTTATCCCTACTGATATTTTTGGCTGAACACAAGTTACCCTCATTTTCTAGTTAAAAAAAATCTGACCCAATCAAAAGCCTAGAAAATGAACATGGATGAACATATACTAACCCCCAAATAGATAGAACATGGATGAACATGGTGGTATATAAATTTCTTGGGAATTTGTAAGTGGGATTACTATGTACACGTGGGATTCCCACTGGTAATTTTTCACTATTTTGGGGGGATTATGTCATGATAAACCACCAGTTGAACTGTAGTAGTATGGGGGTACACTTTTTGAAAGGAACCTATCACGGTAACCCGGTTAACAAATCCAGAGCTGACAATATAAAAATGTGGATAGTTCTACTGAAAGACTGGTTGATCATGGTTTACGTATGTTTTCAGTTGTCATTAAAAATATTAAAAACTGAAACTCGGACACCCATCTAGCAATAAATCAATCAAGGCCTTCCACCACACATGGACCTATCTTGCCGGGGATGATGATCCCCCCTTGCCACCAAGGATCGCAGAAGTCCAATGTGCGCAGCTGGTTTTTGGCTGCCAGCAACTCTCGCAACCTTTGGATTCATCTGGGAATCGAACAATTCTGGACATTGAACTTATGTTTCGTGGGGTTCTTAATTTCTTAAGTCTAATTATTAGAGTCGATTCTGAACGATGACTACCCCATCTGGTGACTTCAAGTTATTTCAAACCATTCGAAACACGAGAGTGGATCGGGACAATCCCAAAAAGGATGGAGCGTCGCAAACCGACAAAAACGAAACCACCAGCCACGAAAACCTCACTTCCATGCAGGAACTGTTCACAAGCATGGAGACACTCTGGCAGGGAAGTCAGCCGATTCTGGGAAACCTCGGCAAAAAGTTGCTTGGCGGCCAACCACCAAAGGATTTAAGCAGACAAACAGTGAGGGATTTCACATAAGCAAAACTTTGGATTTTAGGGAAATAAACAAGCGATGATTTTGTTTAAATCAACAAAAACTTGGGATGCCCCATGTTGTTTTTGTGGTAATTACATCCTCCGTGAATGTGCCCTAGACTGTGGCTGACTGCATTCTATAAACATGTTGGTTTATAAAATGATTCTGAGGGTGCTCTTTTTTTATAGAATGAATCTGAGGCATATTTATGGAATGGTCCGGCAAGTTTAAGGATCTCAGATTTCGATGGTTAAAAACCCCAAAAATTAACTTTATAGAATGAATTGGCTAGTTACATGTAAAAAAAAAGGAGGAAAGCCAGCAGGACATGTCGGTTTATAGAATGCTATTTCAAGTGCATGTTTGGTCCAAACATTTCGAAACAAGTCTGTTACTCGAATCGAACATGACACTCCATGGGATTTATGGAATGCATCTACCAGGATGGTTAACTTCGATTTAACATCAATTTTTTGGAGCAATTTTGGCTTTTATGGAATGAGTTAAAGGGTTGCAAAACCTTGGTTTTATAGAATGAGTAGGGAGGGTTCATGTACTTGCTTGTTCCAACCGGTCCGATCGATTCCCCCCAAATCTGGGTTTATAGAATGATACCCAAAACTGCATTCCATAAACGACCACAAACTCATTCTATAAAGGTACATTAGCGGGGGATGTAATTACTGCATTTCTATCATTTTCTATCCAGGATCAACACTTGTGGATCATGTCGTGACAGCTTCGACAGCCTGGAAAACGAATGTGATTTCTATCCGACACTACGTCTATGCAGTCATTTTTTAACGAAAACAGAGACAGCTGACGTGTCCTTTCAATAAAGTTGATTTTTGCATGTCCAACAATTGTCAGCCAATTTCCTTTTGTTTTGGACACGTGGATGATCATGATGATGATGATGATGATGATGCTGATGATGCTGATGATGCTGATGATGATGACGATGACGATGACGCTGACGACGACGATGATGATGATATCATATAGTGTTGTATATATCATATAGTATCATGTGTTATCAAATGTTATCATACATTATCATACATTATCATATACTAACATACATTATCATATATTGTCATATATCATGTATCATCGTATATTATCTATAGTACAATATAGTGTCATATAGTATCACTATCACTTTCATTATCAGTATCATGATCAATGATTGTTATCATTGATTGTTATTATTCAAGGATCTTCAAAGCGACTCAAAATTAATATCCCATGGATTGCAACGACCCAGTGATCTTAGGATGGTACCCTCTGGCAATTTAACATAGCTATTGAAAATGGTGATTTATAGTGACATTTCCCATTAAACATGGTGATTTTCTATAGCTATGTTAGTTTACCAGAGGGTACTTGAGATTTTCCCCTGAATTTCCCGATGTCCAACGTTCACGGCCCACAACTCTCCTGGCCCGTTCGTTTCCAACACGACGAGTCGCAACGGCGAGGCAGCCTCTGAATCTAACTTCCATTCACCAAAGGTGAATATATCCCCAATTAGATCCATTTAGATTGATGAAATTCAGTGAAATTCCTTGATTTATTGATTTTATTGCTTCAACCACCCACAAAACCTGCTTCTCCGCTCGCACCACTTCTAGGACTCAACTCGTCTCGTGTTCCGAGCGACGTCCAGACGTTTCAACTTGCGGCCTTTCCACGCCGTCCATGGGAGGTCTTGCAGCTGGTTCTTCGCCAGGTCCAAGATCTCCTGGAGGTCACCATGAAAACCGGAGGATTCCATGGGATTTTTGTTCAGGCATCTATGGAAAATGCAGAAAAGCTTACCAATATAAATGTGGATTACATTCAACTGGTGGATTTTGTCCATTGAGGGAAAATGGTCACCTATTTTTGATGGGATATGATGGGGTCATGGATCAAATATCTCATATTCACAGAACTGGTAACTGGGATATGACTTAGATACAAGATATCTTGGATACAACATCTACTAGAAAACGGGACCAACAAAAAATTAGATGCAACTTCAACATGTCAAAACAAAAATGGGATGATGAGCCGTCTTTAAGGTACCAAATTGAAGCTGCCACACATATGCAAAGCTCTTTTTTTTGGTCTAATTAGAAGATAACCTTCAGAAAACGGCCAGAAAGGGATTTACTGGGATTTACTATATCTAGGGATTTACTATTTCTAGGGATTTACTGGAAATGTGTACCTCAATTCTAGGGATTTACTATTTCTCCAGCTGGGACTGATACAACCCGTCCCCACGCTCCAGTTGCTCGAGCTGTTGTATCTCTGATGGCAAGGCACCTATGCGACGGGGCGACGGGGCGGTTTTTAGGCCTTGTTGGCAGTGTTGGTTCAGTTCATGTTGGTTAATGTTGGTTCATGTTGATGAATGTAACGATGAAAATGTTGGTTGATGTTGAATAGATTTCAGTATCATGATGATGTTGAATGACTGTGGAATAAAGAAACACATTATGGCCTTGATGAATGTTGGCTCATGTTGAATGATCTTCGATGATGGCTGATGTTGATTAAGAGTACCTTGGATGATTTTGAATGACGTTGGAGGACAAACATTGATGAGCGCTGGTTAATGTTTATGAGTGTGTGCAACGGAAAAAGTGGTGCCCAAGTATGTAGATACAACTCCCCCTGATTGGGGTGTTGAGAGTGCTTCAAAAAATCATGCTCAACCTCCTGGCAAACGTGACCCACATGTTCCGCATCGTGAAATTCAGAAAATGGCTTCCTGACTTTGTCAAATCAATTATAATATAGTACTGATAATTACTATAATATCAGTATATATACTATAATATACTGAAATCCTGGCTTTAATTCCCAGCTTCGTGTTTTTCGCTTCAATTCCCAACCTTTTCCGGGCCCAGTGACTCAGCTGATTCTCCGACAAGACCAATTCCACCAGGCTGGCTGCGCAGCCCACCTCTGACCTTGGTTGGCTCGAGAGAGTGGCCATAGGAACTGCTATTGAAGCCGTGGCACATGGCTAGTTTGTTGATTTACCGTTCTTAAAGATGGTCATGTTCCATAGTTTTTTGTATGTTTACCAGAGGGTAGATTGTAGATAATTAGAAACAAATTGAGATACGTTGAAATAACAGGAAAGAACCCCCTGCTAGTTTAGCTGGATGGGGTAAATCCTGGTTTTGTTCAAGTTGTTTTTTCAACAGGAATCGTTGGGCTGTTAGGGACTTGATGGAATATGAATCCATGAAATATTCGCCAACTAATACGCAATAGATCACAAACAGTAACATTGTAGCCCTAAAAATTATTCCATGAAACTCAATGAACCAACCACGACCCAAAATATCCCAAGATGTCGAATCTGTCGACATGGTTCCCTTGCCCTCGGATTCCTTGTGATGCCAACTTTCCACCCATCTGATAGGACGATAGGACGTTGGGGAACCTGAAGTGTGTCTATTGGGCAAAGGCCCAATAACAATTTACATCACCCGGCGTGATTATCCAATGTCACCAAGAATATCCAAGAATAGTTGTGCAAAGTAACACTTTGCAGTGACACCATAGTAAGCAAGCAGCTGGGACTTGTCCTCCCAACAATAACGCCCGTGCTGTGGCCATGAAACGGCAGCGCCATCAAGTTGTTGCTGCGCAAATTCAACTGTTTTAGCGGCAAGGAGAAGAGCTCCTGCGGCACCTCGGTTGCTGGTGAAAACGATGGGCTCCGGAGAAAGGTTACCCTCTGGTTGTCTGACGATTTGCGAACTGGAGAATCACTAAATGTTTCAAAGGTATATCATCATTCCTATCATCTATAAATCGGCCATCTATAACCAGAGGGTAATTGGTTAGTAAAGTGGAATTACAACCGTTGTATACCAGGTATGTATAAGGAGATGTAACCCACCATCCAACCGTAACCACTTGACTGACTCCATGGCCCATCTAGGAATAGTTGGACAAGTGGGGTTATTACCCTAAAGTAAACTAACAAAGATGTGGAAAACCAACCTGTTGTAGACGATTTTCCTGGGAAAACATGGGTGTTCCACATCTTTGTTAGTTTCCCCTAGGGTGCCTATGAGCCTAATTTCAGAATGGTAGCAATGGACTAAATCTGATTGAAGATTTGATCTACTGTATCCCATTGAATCCCTATAAAATCCCATTAAATCACCATAAAATCCCATTAAATCCCTATAAAATCCCATTAAATCCCTATAAAATCCCATTAAATCCCTATAAAATCCCATTAAATCACCATAAAATCCCATTAAATCCCTACAAAAATCCCATTAAATCCCTACAAAAATCCCATTAAATCCCTATAAAATCCCATTAAATCACCGTAAAATCCCATTAAATCACCGTAAAATCCCATTAAATCACTATAAAATCCCATTAAATCACTATAAAATCCCATTAAATCACCATAACATCCCATTAAATCACCATAACATCCCATTAAATCACCATAAAATCCCATTAAATCACCATAACATCCCATTAAATCACCATAACATCCCATTAAATCACCATAAAATCCCATTAAATCACTATAAAATCCCATTAAATCACTATAAATCCCATTAAATCACTATAAATCCCATTAAATCACCATAAAATCCCATTAAATCACCATAAAATCCCATTAAATCACTATAAATCAATCCCATGGAGGAAACTGTTCACAAGCAACTTCCCGTAGCTCGTTGGAGTACGCCACGAAGGCCTCGCAGTCCACCAGATTTGCCACGGACGGCGGCAGCGCCTCCAAGGTGTTCAACGAGACGTCCAGCCGGGTAACCTCGGTGAAGGTGACCGGTGAACGAAGGGATGGGGTGGAAGATGTGGAGTTGTTCTATCCCATAGGATCCATGTATGGGGTATATTGATGGTAAATGTTACCATATATAGCATACATGGATCCTATGGGTATGTGTTTCTCAATTTTAAGACATGAGTTAATGAGTTATGTTTTTCACATCTGGATTTAATAATTTAATCCAATCCTGATGATGTTTCTATACATGAAAATAACACTCTTCATATGTATGGTATATTATAGTCATACTTACTTATATCATGCATTAAAAACCTTGAAAGATACGTGAGTTATAGTCTGTAGTGATTCACTCACCTGAATGCTTCGGCAATTTTGGGATGGTCACCGCAATCCTGATCATGAATCCTTTTGGGCGTCGCAGTGATGTCATTATGACTTGTCCAGAATTATTTGTGCTATCATTTATTTCTGCTGGGATATGTATTATATTATATAGACCATAGAAGTATCATATAGAAATATCTATGTATAGAAATATCATATAGACACATGTGCACAAACACACTTATAACAATAGACCATAATCATATAGAAATATCTATGTATGAATACAGAATACAGCTACGATAGTATGTCAAACTACTAGACGCTAAAGCAAAGGCAAAGAATTAGACTATGTCAACCGACTAGACGATCTCATCACTAAGAAAAAATGGGGTCATGGTTTTGATGGATTTGGACATCATGGAGATCCATCTGCCTATTGAAACCCCTGGTAATTACTCTTTTCACATCAAATTGCTGTGGTAAATACATGTTCAGCCCCAAAATTTCAGAGGTTCTGACTCATCTGTCAAATTGCCAGAGGGTAATTATTTGTTGGCTATGTCTCGTTGGTGGTTTCAACCCTCCTGAGAAATTACCGAACATAAACATACTTGAAACTTGAAACCACCAACCAAATATATGGTAAGATATATCTGGATAAATTTCAATAATTCACTAACCTGATAAATTGTGCCGTTTTGGATACCCATACTAACTATCACTCCAGTGACGACGCTGTGAGCTGGTTATGATTCATCCAGAAACAGTCCAAAATCCATTGTTATAGATGTGTTTCCCATATTTCATGACATAGCCAGATTAGGTTCTTAGTCTTAGTTTTGACATGTTTTTAGATCATTGTCCCATATTTTACCAATCACTTTCCCAATAAAAAGGTTTGATCCATAGCCACATGGGTTATATTTCCTAGTCAGAGAACTTCGATGATCACTATAGCTGCTAGCTCTATATATATATATACATATACATATATATATTAATGTATCATTTTCTAGCCATTTCCAACTAATCCCCTAGTTGATCGTCATTTTTTCCAATTTTTTATGTGTTTTTCCCCCCTGGTTCCAGCGTTTCCCTCGGATTCTCGGTGGGGCGACTGGACATTGCTCCCACCACTTCTCAGCCCAGGAGGAGTCTTGGAAGCCACAGACCGACTCGGGCAAGATTCCCGACCTGCGGCCGGGATTTTATAGTGATTTAATGGGATTTAATGGTGATTTAATGGGATTTTATAGTGATTTAATGGGATTTAATGGTGATTTAATGGGATTTTATAGTGATTTAATGGGATATTAAATCCCCGTTGAAATTTGGGGGGTGAGGATTGCCTCCCTTGATGTAGGTACCTTCTGGCTGGGTACAACCCCCCAACAATACAGAAAACAAAATCCACTAAAAAAAAATTCACTACAAAAACCATTTTGTTTAAGATACAAAAAGGTCAGGCACAGACCAAATGGTTTCAAAAACCACCAAAAGAAGGATCTGCAAATCCAGAGGTGCTTTTTGTAGCTGACCACATTTGCTGCCAAACGCCTTTCTTTTTCCAGCTTACCCTGGCACGAGCTCTGTTCCACAGGGACTTTGTGTAGCCTAGCCTACTCCCAACAGCTGACCTACCCTCTCATAGCTTTGCTATGCATCGCATTGCGAGGTCAGTCCACCACATCAAACATCAATAACATATAATGACACAGAAACTTTAACCAGGAAAACCATGAATGGAAACCATGTTGTCATATGTTTCTTTGTACTCTGGAATGATGCCTGGCGGACTGTTTCAAGACGTATTGTCCTTAGTCTAAATTAATTAGGCTGAACATGTGTGAACAGCTTGCATCATTTTGCACCTACTTTCCTCCTAAAAGAGTTGGGATCAAAAACGTGTAACCAAATTGGGCACCGTGGATCCCTGGCATCTTTTCCACCCAAGCCATCCCAAGCCAGCAATTCGTGTGCATTGAGCATGAAAGCGAAACAGTATGTGTGGTTCAGAGGTTCAGTGCATACACTTCCTCAAAAAAATGGCAACAGAAACTCCCTTCTTTAAAACCAAGCTTTAGTTTGAGCTCGCTGACTGCATGGGGGAAACGAACATGTGAGACATGGTTTTTTTCAAGTATGACACACAGTCATCAATTCGACTCTTCCTCATCCTCCTCTACTTCTTTCTTTCCCTTGTTAACCTTGATGTAGTCGCAAATGTCCTTGATCAACCTGAGCCAACCTTTTCGGTATGGAGGTTCTTTCTCGAGACTCGTGTAGATGCTGGTCAAATGCTGGTAGACCATTTTGCCATACGCGCTGGGAGTCTTGAAATGGCGGTACCTGGGTTCAACGCTAGCATACGCTAGCTACATTTTCTCAGTCCGGGCAGCAGAACCCTACAAAAACCACTTTCCATACTTGTAGATGACCTTGCACTCATCGAGATGATGCTACAATTTGGAAATCAGAACTGTAATCCCCTACAAAAATGGTTTCAAGACCGACTTCAGAATTACTATTGTATTTCTATGTTTTTTTTTAATGTTCATTACGCTATTAGAACAGGCTAAGGTGCAAAAATTCGATAGCCTTTGGAGCATTCTCCATGATCTCATACACTCTGAACTCCTCGGATCCTTCAAATTTCAACCTGCACACGCCAAAAGGATCAAAGGCTGGAGCTTTGGCAAAGACCTGCGTGTCCAACTCATGGATCTTCTTCATCATAAAGCCGATGTTTTCACGACCAGCCGTCTGGCGGCGGAAACTCTGTTGTGAAATCTCCTGGACATCGAGCTTCAGCACCTTTGCACTCTTTGATTTCTTCTCCTTTTTCTTCTCATCTTTTGGTTCTTTCTTTTCTGTCTCATCAGTGCTCTTTTCAGAAACTTTCATCCCTTTTCCAGATCCTTTTCCTTTGTTTGGTTTGGCATTTTGGTTTGCTAGCAAAGCAGCTTTTTTGGCACCCCTGGTCATTGTGGGTGCCACTGCCCACCTTCTCATACCTTCAACTCGTGCGAGGACATCTGCAGATTCAGCAGTCAAGACAATCTTCATCTGCCCGTCGCCGGTCTCAGGCTGCTCACCTCACAGAAAACTAATCGATGCTACAAAAACTTGGGGCACACATTCAACTCTACAAAAACCACTTCACACAAAGACATAGAAACATCACAGGGATTGACAGGCAGAGATTAAGTTTCACCCGCCAACGAAAATCTTAGACAGTATTAAAACACATGTGAAAGCTGCAAGGTCTGCAAAATCATCATCTGTCCATGATTTCTATCTTGTTGGCTCAAACTATTTGCCTCCAAAGGCACATGTTTCAACGTCGAGGATGCAGATCAACGACTCCAAGCGGACAGTCCATGCTGTGGATGTCGCTCCACATTGCCACTCTGAAGCATGATCCTGCTGGTCTGAGATCTTAGGAAAAAACAACCACAACTTTCCAAAACTATCCAAGACTATCCAAAACTATCCAAAACTCAGGTATAAACTAATCAAGAAATATGGATCACAAACATGCTTTTACCAGCAGCCAAAGAGAAACTTGTCCACTAGAGTAGAGCCCGTGGTCCTGGTCAATCATGCTCAAGCAGACGCAGCGAAAGGCCATCACCGAGTTGACAGCAGTTTCGCCAGCATGTAGGCGAGGGTTTTTGATACCCTTCCACACACTCAAAATTAAGCCCAGTTCAACTCCTCCATGCAAATCTCGGTTCGGTAGCTGGAAGAGAACCACATGACCAGGCCTCAGTACTGCACAGGATTCTATTGTATATGATTTGATCTGCGTGCTTGGAAATCAGGGAAACCAATAGTCGCTATGAACAGCACGTAAAAACAACATGAACACACTACTAAAAGACTCTAACAAAAATTGAACTCTACAAAAACTGAATTTTCTTGAATTTGCCAGATCAAGTGAAACCATTTGACATGTTACAGGATAAGAATGGATAAGACTGTAAATCAAGGATCATTATGCAGTACTGCACAGGATTGGATTGTATATGATTTGATCTAAGTGCTTGGAAATCAATGGAAATCAGGGAAACCAATAGCCGCTATGAACAGCACGTAAAAACAACATGAACAGACTACAAAAAGACTCTAGCAAAAATTGAACTCTACAAAAACTAAATGTGATTGAATTTGCCAGATCAAGTAAAACCATTTAACATGTTACAGGATAAGAATGGATAAGACTGTAAACCAAGGATCATTATGCGTTGCGGTGCGGACTCCCCGATCTCGAGGTCTTTCTGTGCCTGCTGGGCAAGCTCTCGCCACTTCGCCAATCGAGTGGTCCTGCTGCGATACTCTGCACTTTGTTTCTCTTTCTCCATGTCGGCAATTCGCTTTTCATTGAACCTTGCCAGGCATCAAACTACAGAAACTCCAACTGCATCCAACAACTACAAAAAGCATCTCTATCAGAAAATTGTCTCAGGGTGCGCCAAGCATTCCACAAAAAAAAAGTAAAAATAACAAATAGAGCCCCACATCTGCTTCAAATAAAGGCAGTTCCAGGAACTGATGCCAGTTCAGGCTTGTACTTGCCCTTCTCAAATTGCGTCCATGACGGACCCAGTTGGTGTCGCATCCACCTCGAGCAGATCGGAGCCTGACAGCAAACCTGAAAAGCCCATTGAAGGTATCACCTTGGAGGTCCAAGGCATCTCCTAAAGACCACGGCATGAATTCACCACTCCCGGTACTCTGTTGGGGAGGTGCAGAAGCTTCCTCATGAGACACCAACGCCTCTGGCTTCTCCAACAATCTTCTCATTTGCTGCTGATCAGGAACCTTGGCCAACTCCATGTCGACGATCTTTTCCTCATCTGGGACCTCTGTCTCCACGTTGGGGTCATTAAAGACTGTCTCGGTCTGCAACTGCTGGAGAAACTGCTCGGCCTCATTTTCGATGTCTGGGGCGTTTTCGGAATCAGAAAACTCATCATCTTCCAGCTCTTCATCTGCAAACAGGAATCTCTCGCTGGGGGTGCTTGCACATGCCTTTCGATAAGCCGCTTCCAACACGCTGGTTTTTGTATCCGATGCCAAGGAAGCCAAGCGAAGCACAGCAGTAAGAGCTTTTTTGCTGCATGCTTTGAACCTCAGATCGACATAGACGGACAACATCTACAAAAAGGATGCCTAGGGTATGGGGCTACAAAAAGGGTTTCTTAATTACTGTACAATCTTGGAAGCAATGACAGACACTGCCGACTATGAAACTACAAAAACATACAAAAACAATATCTTGCCTGGCCAAATACTTTATGTGTATCAAGAATTATCAAGACATGTTCAAATCTCCCCCAACATCGCCCAGGAACTGTTCTTCCGAAAGAGGCTCCTCACCACGGTGCAATTCTGCAACCTGCTTGGTCAACTTCTGGCCGTGTTTGAGGGTCACCCTTGCGCTTGCTTGGAAATAGCCGCGTGCTGATACTTGGCTATTCGGTGACTGGCCCCTCACGAAAGAGAACCATTGCTCTATCGGGATCTCCGATAGGCGTGCATTTCCATGCATCCATGGATCGAAGGTGGCATCGCGAGTCAGGCAAACGACCACTGCAGCGAGGCTGCATGCCTCACAGGTCGTTTCCGTTTCTGTAGCATGATACAAATACCCTGGGCATAGCTACAAAAAGTGGCCCAGAGGGAAACACCTTGTACAAACTGCCCCTGTTGTGCTAATATCTTTGGAACACACAGAGAAAAATAAAATTCTCAGGCATCCCTCAAGCCTGTAAGTTGGTGGACGTCTGGGACGCCATAAAACAGCTCCCTTTAGGGAGTGCCATTTTCGTGCATGTCTCCTCGGCCAGAAGTTTGAACACGTCAATGGCCAAAAAGCCACACAGTGCCCACTCGCAGCGGGTGGCCAAGTCCAAATTCTGGTCTCTGTGGAGCAGCGGAGCCATGTTGAGCGCCACCTTAAGAAAAATGCAGAAATTTCGTGGATTTTCCATAACCCTGGTCACAAAATAGCACTGGTGGTTCCCCTTGTGTGCGTATTCAAGTTGTAGGTTTCTGAAAAAACATCTTGTATTGGAACCAAGGAGCAATGAGGTTATGGAGCAATGCACCTCTCAATGCCCAAGGTACGTGCATTGAAGCAAGGCTACAGTCCTGACTCCAAGGATGCATGTTCTCACATTGCGATAGACATGCTACAAAAAGATTACCGGTTCCATTATCGCTACAAAAGCAAATTTACAATTGGGTGCCCTTGAAAACAGGAGAAAATATAACAAAAAAAATCGTGAACCGAACCATCAGCAAGTGTCAACCCTGTCGACCAAGTAGAAGGGACACGACAGAAGTGCTTGAAACCTGTCGCTCATTGGTGAGTCTCTCGCAAGAACTGATGGTGGCATTCCATGCTCTCTCGCCATGGTGAGGTCGTTCCAGTAGCGACCATAGTACAAACAGCGGATCCATGAGCATGCCTGTCCTCCCGAATTTTTCACAGCATGGCCTGAAGCACTGTCTGTTTTGGTGATGCATGTGAAGTGAAAACGTTTAGGCATTGGCTGAAAAATATAAATAAGAACATATATATATATAAATATGATATACGTATATTATATTATATTATGATCATATATTTGTGTATGCTCTTTTATGGATTTGTATGGCCTGATTTATTTCACTAAATCAAAAAAAGGCTGGATAAAGGACGCCAGTGTCAGCATGTGTCAGCTACAAAAAGTCGCAGCCCAAAGGAATCCTTATAAAAAGTATTTCTTTTCTGCCAAACACATCCAAACATGCCAGACAAATCCAAACAAGCACTCAAAATCCGGAACTGACCAAGAAAACGCCTGCTAAAACAATAACCAGTGACAAATTCCGGGAATTCCCCAGATCACTTCATTGTTCACATAGGTGATGCTGATGGGAAGCCGGGGCAAACAGCAGCCAGGCAACGGAGCGTACTTCAAGCTTGCAAAGAAGGGAAGGCCTCTCACAGTCTCGCGATCAAGGTCCGAAAGTCCATGCAGAAGCTTGCGGCACTGCAAATGCGTGCCATGGCCATCGAAGATGACAGCCTTGACAACCCCTTGGCTCAGAGACAGCAGCTTTCCGATGGTGCTGAGCATGTACAGGTTCCCTCTCAAAGAAGCTTGGGCCCCACCAAAGTTGTGTTCGATTGGCATGGAGCATATGCTAAGCGGCAACTTCTTCTGAGCGCATGGATCCCACAGTATGGATTCCAAAACTGTGGATGCTTTGCGCACCTGGAAATGCCCAAACAAACGAAACAACTAAATCAATTTAAATCACCATATAAAAGTTCGTTGGATGAAGAGCTTACAAAAACGAATTGACTTCATTGCTGATCTACAAAAACCGATGTGGATGCCATTGCTTCAGCCACAATAGAATCTGGGAGAACATGATATCTGCCAAAGAAATCCAAATATGTCTAGACTGGCTATTGAACGTTCCCTTCCTTCCCAAACAATCATGTGCCTTGGAAATGTCAATGTCGTCACCGTCCAAGGGAACAAATGCATTTTCAACTTCTGCATCTGCATCTGGGTACCACATTCCACCCACCATCCCTCTGCGCCCTCGAAGTTGCATTTGGGATAGTGTAGACGTCAAGTAGGTTGCATCGAATGCAAGGCACAATCTGCCTGCAAAGTTTCTAAAGCTAACTTCAAATTTTCTCACTTCATGACCAAACAATAAAAACGAAACTGTGTCTGGAGAAAAAAGCTACAAAAAGGAAAAACCGAACTCCATAAGATACAAAAAGCATTAAATACAACAAAAAAAATCATCTTGTTCAGCAGGTGACGTTTTGGAGTGTTCTCAGGCCTCACGAACCGCTGGTCTGCGATGACAAAGTTCTCCTTCAATTGCTCTGGCCAAAGAAGGGCAAGTGCACTATTTGGCAAGGCATTCTTGTCGAGCTCATCAAGGGAAATTCGACATAAGGCAGAAGACAATCCAAATTCTCGTGCTAGCACGGAATTGCCGGTGGCCATTGCCAAGCTCATACCTGCGTCAGAGATCAGGCTGTGCTCAAGTTCGGTGCAATCTTGGCGTGGCCCTTGCATTCCCACACCAAGAGTTTTTTTGTGCAGCATCCGATGACATTGCAGAACTAATCCTTGAATCAAAGGATGCGATTCCAGTTCGCCACTCAAACAGCTTGCTGCCATCTTGAGATTGCAGGCATCCTGCTCAGATGCTTCACCTCCACGTACAATCGCTGTGAAACGTGCCATGACGTCTGCCATGTGTTCTGGGACAGCTGACACGTTGACTTGAAGACATGGTTTCACCACCACCGAAATGAACTCCTTCAGCTTGATGCTGGTGTAGGCATTGGACATGAAGGACTTGCGCACATACAGCTGCAATGGTCCGGTCCTCAACTGCTTCAGCTTGCCCAGTTCTGTATCTCCAGACATGCTACTACCATTGATCTCCGCCATCACCTCAGCCAGGCCGTCAGATCCGCCAAACATCCTGGCACTCAACAAAGTGGCTGCATAGTATTTGCGTACAAAGCGTTGCACACCGCGCACAACCTCAAAAGGATGGCAAAGGAATGACCAACCATAAACCTCCAATCTAGCTACAAAAAGTTTTCCAGCATGATAGTATCTACAGAAAGTCCTTTTGCTTCCATTTGATTCTATTAGATCTAATGGGATTCTGCCTGATCATCCTTACAAAAAAGCTGTTTAGGCAAGTGGGCTCTACAAAAAGATTTTTTGAAACTCTTTCCCTGAATTCACATGTGTAGGAACACTATGGGCATACCCCAAAGCTTTGCATTGTCCGCAAACAAACTTCCCATCCGTGCTCATCTGATCGGTTTCCTCCTCACAATCTTTCGCCCGGATGTACCAAGCATTTTCACTGACTTCATGCCAATATTTGTGCACAGAACATTCAGCCAGATTTGCATACGATGCCCAGATGCGAAACTCCTCTCTGAAGGTGTAGAGCTTTCCAGCATTGTGAGGATCGTTCACACACAATCCCGGGCAAGGGCGTACCTCTCCATGAGCCCCACCAACAGTGATTGGGACGCTTGCAGTCTCTGACAGGCGCAAATATCTTTGATGCATCGGAGACCTGACATGCTTCAGGAGAAAATGCCTGCAGGTTTTGTATTTCCTCTTGCTCAGCTCACCAATCTTGCCCTTTGGAAAACGACGTGTCCTGCACACTGTGCACTGGTACGGTACCTTCTTGTTCCTGGTCCCTGCTGGCAATATCTTGATGATCGGGGAAAACTCCTCGAAGAGCTGCTCCAATTTTTCAGCTGGCGAGATCCCATCATCTGACTTTTTGTTTCCATCATGTGCTTCACCGTTGTCCTCCGAAAGCGTGCAATCATCATGTGCTGCACCCTTCTTCTCCGGCTCATCTTCTCCATCCCTTGCCTTTTTCTGCTTGCCGTCTCTCTCCTTATCCTCTGTGACATCAGCTCCTCTAGCAACTCTTTCGTCTCCGTTGAGCCATGCACTCACAGCCTCGTCATGCTTCTGGCGGGTGTACCCACACATTTCCAGGAGCTTTATGCATGACTCGCATTTCACTTCTGCTTCATTGAGTAAGGCTGCTTGCAACTTTTTGAAGCCGTTCATGGAGCAGTAGGACGCCTTCTTCATGTTGGCCAACCTACAGGGTGCATCAGGGCGCAAGAAAAAGGAAAAAAGGGGATAAAAAGAGGGGAACAAAAAGAGACCTATTTAAAATTCCTTACAAACACCAAAGCCAAGGTCTAGGCACTAAAAAAAGCAAAACCAAGTCTGCTCCAGAAACTACTGATAAAAATCAAGCAAAGATTTTCATGAGGATGATGAGAACACATAGAAAAAGCAGTTGTGTCTTCATTTTTCAACATTTTTTTATCTTTTTTTTTCGGTATAATCTCTTTCTTGAAAATTACACTTCTGTGCATTTTTGGATCCACATCAGAGCAGGCCTGGAATGAACACGCTGGAACTCTGCCCATGTGATGCCGATCCCAGAGAGAAACATCCTGGTGGCTGCTCGCTTCTTGTCCTGGTTCGTCTGAGGCTTCTTCCAGCAGGAGCGCGTGTGCGAGCTGCGACGAAGACGAAGCTTGTCCTGCAGGGAATTCATAAAGAAGGAGATGAGGTGGAGACTCTTTTGGCCAGAAACGTGCAACACCATCAGGTTCATGTGGGACAAACAAGAAAACAGAATATAAAAATATGTTCTTCCAGTATCTTCTAGTGTGATCTTGGACGCTATGTATGTTGCAGCTCTCTCCTCTGAGTCTGAATCGCCAAGAGCAAGGCCATCATCTTCAGATGCTGCATCAGGTTTAACTTTTGCCTGCTTTTGGCGTTTCTTCTTTGTCTTGCCTACGTTCCCTTCCCCTTCAGAGCTTGGTTCTTCCTTTCTTGCTTCTTGTTTCCTTTTCTGGGGAGCTTTCAAAACAGTCTCTACTTTGCGGGGTTGTCCAAAGGCTACAGGCCGGCACTGATTCACTCGGGAGGTGCATTCACCATGTTTTTCGGGTTCACCATGCTTTTCTGGTGACATTTCATTGCTATCCTGTTTCCTTTTCACTCGAGATTTGCGCACACCTGGCTTTTCCGGTGTCATTTCATTGCTATCAATTTCCGCTTTGCCCTTCTTGTTTCCTTTCTCAGGTGTAGCAAATCCCGATGCTGTGCGTTTTTTTTGCAAAGGAGTCTGCTGCTTGCTCTGCGGGGTTTTCACTGGAGTACTCTTTGCTTTCTTGGGTGATTTCTTGGCAGTAGGCGTTTGGGGCTTGGCTGGCGAGTCCAGTTGTGCCTTGACAGATTGGCGGAGCTGAGCTGGCATTTCCTCGACCAGTCCCTGCGCACCAAACAATCTTTGCCATGCTGGGTCTTTGGAACGGCTTTTCCACAATGCCGCGAGCTCCTGGCAATTAACAGTTGATATCAGATGATATCCATTGATTCCAATCTCCAAGATATGCTACAAAAAAGCCTTCCCGACTGATAAGCTCTACAAAAACATCTTTGGCAAACAATACCAATAGATAAGATACCAATAGCTGATTGATGCAACTAAAAAGAACCTACAAAAAACATCAAAAAAAACAATGCACTATCAAAACCTCTACAAAAAGCAATCCCTTGCAAACAAACCAAGGTTCCATCCTTAGCTCTTGCACACGCTCCTCCGTGCTCAGGGTGGACTGCACAAAGCAACCAGCTTGAACTGCCAGCATGGTCCAGAGAGCACAATTGCCGTCCCCAGGAACTTCTGCTGGCAAGAGCTCCAACTAGATTGCCTCATCGTAGAACACTTTCCTTTTCTCCAAGCGGGCCACATGCTGGTGAAGCGACTGAGCCATCATCACATCTACAAATTGCATCTCCTTCAAATGTTCCTGTGTACGGGCAATGGCATCATCAAGCTTCTTCAATAGTTTGGAAACCATCGGGTCCCATTCCTCATTCAACTGACTTCTGGGGTAAAGTGGCAAGTAATGATTCAACTTCAGGAAGTCAACCCGCTCAAAGGAATTGTGGCAGGCAGCAAAGATCCAAGTGCTCGGTGAATGAATGCTGGGGCTTTCTTCACCTGGAAGAAGTGCTTTAGTGTCCAACCCATTCAAGTAGGAACTCACAGAGCGCACAACAGGAGGTCCTTTGGTCTCATTGTCATAAACCAGGAGGAGGACATCCTTCTCGTGTGCAGCTGCTAGAATTGCTATGTCCAAAATTCCCAGGTAGACCCCATCGTTCTGCACATGGTCTGCATAGAGAGCCTTAAAAAGACCGAAGCAACAAAACCCCTGCAGTAGTCATAAAGAGTATGTAGAAGAGGTTTCCTATTTGACTGTTCCATGCTACAAACAAACTGATGTGACTGGCAAGCTCTACAAAAACCATTATTGGATATTGTCAAAGAAGTGAAGCCCAGGTGATGCAGAACTTCCATGGCAGGCCGAAACAAAGAAAGACCAGATTCATCCAAATTCCTCATTTAAAAAAATAGTCTGTGTGCATAAGTGGGCGTCGGGTGAATTATTGACTTGTGGATACTTGTGGTGCAAAAATGTGGGGGCTCTATCAGGCAAAGGTGCGATAAGTGCTTCAAGCTCTGGATCATATGCAGTGTCAGCTTCCACCTCTGGAACCTCAAAAGGAAGGAAATGGATGATGCTTCAAAGTTCAGAATTGAACGGAAGGGAATCGAAAGGGCAGATTAATACAAAAAAAACAATATGGAACAATGTCTCGCTGGACTGTTCGACATGCTACAGAAAGATTTCCGGGGCCAAATGGTTTACAAAAACCAACCTGTGCAGGCCAAACCCACCAACAAGGCATTGGGGCCCATAGGGGATACAGAATCACCATGAAAAATCATGAAAACACATCGAGAAAAACCATGGAAAAACCAAACTTTTGGAGGCTGTTTTTTTCCATTCAATCTCTTTCATAAAAATTGCACTTCTGTGCATTTTTGGTGGGCCGGTCAGGACCTAGTGGTTTTGAGTACCCTGGAACGTCCCCAACACCAAGCATTCAGCTGCTTGCCAAAAAAAAGTCCCACTCCCTCAATCCCAGTGGGCAAGTCGCAGCTTCGGACTTTCCCACATCCTCTGCTTGCTCAGCCTTCTCAGCAACCTGGGCCCCAACAGTCTAAGATATTTTAGCGACAGGGGTGTCGAGAACTTCACCTTCGATATACCCTCCAGCAACTGGTGAAAACTTAACATTCTAATATCATCAATGACATACAATCAATGCATTTAAAAACAATATATTACCATATATATCACTCTCTTCTAAGTCTCAAACCCACTGCCAACCTGGAAACCCGGGCTCAACGAATATAGGTCTCAGAATCAGCAGCAATACATGAATTGCAATTGCATGGTTACATTGTTTCTATGGAAATTGAAAATCTAAATATCAAAATGTCTACAGTAGATATATATATATATGTATACAAATATATATATATAAACAATTATATAATATTATATACATATGACTTGTATATATACTGTTATGATCTTAAATGACCCTTCCATGTCTCAACTCCACAGACAAGACGCATCTCCGGGATGTAGATCAACACCATCTGTGGTCTTGTCAGACGTCTCAGGGACCTGAGTTCGCATACTACAAAAATACTTCTGGGGCCACAGGGTCTACAAAAACCAACCTATGCAGGCCAAACCCACCAACAAGGCATTGGGGCCCATAGGGGATACAGAATCACCATGAAAACACATCGAGAAAAACCATGGAAAAACCAAACTTTTGGAGACTTAACATTCTAATATCATCAATGACATAAAAATCACTGCATTTAAAACAATATAGAACCATATATATATATATATCACTCTTTAAAGAGTTTTTAAGTCTCAAACCCACTGCCAACCTGGAAACCCGGGCTCAACGAACTAGTTGCAGATTTGGGCTCAGAATCAGCAGCATTGTATACATATACAGTATATATATATATACAT